TAGCTCATCTTTCTAAGGGAATTTCTCCCCCAAAGCGGCCGACCCTCCGTTTTCCATCCTGCTCCCAGCTCTAACCCTACCTCTGGTCCACCGAATGCACCCCAGCTGACGGCAAAGTCAAAGGGATGGTGGTGGCCTAAAATTGTGGAGAACAGTCAGATAAAAATGCGTGAAGAGGCTTTATTTCTCTTGGTTGTGGGGCAGGGCAGGGTTCAGGAGACAGAAAACAGAAACGTAGGAACATAGGAACAGAGCGAGTCAGAAGGGATCTCTCGGGCCATCTAGTCTGACCCGTCTCCATTATCTTCTGAGAAACTTGGCCTCAGCATGGATTTCTTGCAAAGGCGGTATCAAAATTCATGGGTCTTTTTTGGGCAGACATTGTCCCTGATTTAATTGGACAGCCTCCTCTCTGTGTTCCTTTTAGGTTTCACCTTTTGGAGGTGTAAATGTGGTGCCCCCGTGGTGAGAAATCCAGTTTCGATTTCTCATTATGGGCTGGGGCATGGCCGGGGAAGGGTGGGGGAGAAAGAGCATTACAGAAGCAACAACGAGGCACCACCTCTTTGGTACACCTTGCACGTCACTTTGCCTCCAGAACATTGCTGATCTGAGATGTTTGCAAGCCGGTGCAAGAGGTCGCTTTGTGACACTTCTCCTATAAATAAAATGGATGAGCCAGCCGGCATGGAGTGCCTGGGTCCCAGAAAAAGAAGCTTGCTAATTAGTTTAAAAGCTGCACTTGGTTTAAGGACGCAGGTTTTTAAGAGCACGGTTAGCATTTTCTGCCTGCTTGGCTCCACTTTTTAAATAGCTGATTCCAGGCTAAATCCATCAGGCACGGCTTCTCTTCACACTGCATGGTGAGGACGGAGAAAGCTGGGGGGAAAGAAATGCTGAAATGGGGTCAATGGATTCAGTAAGTCTGAACAGCTGAGAGCGTTGGTCAATTTGGAAGTGAAATGAGGCCGCGGCCGTCATGCCCTCTCCGGGAGAATCCTGCTCCTCAAAGGATTTAGTTTCCAGGGTAGCACGGGAAGAGCCATGCAGGGCCAGATCCATCAAGTCCAGCTTCCTCTTCACAGGATGGCCTAGCCGATGCCCATGGGAAGCCACCAGCATTGCTCTGCCCCTGTTCCCCAGCACCTGGCGTGTACAGGCAGCACAGGCCATCAGGACTAGTGACTGCTGGTGGCCTTCCCCTCCATGGACTTGTCCAACCCTCTTGGAAAGCAGCCAGCTTGGTGGCCGGCATGACATCTTGTCCAAGGGAATGATGGTGTGGAAGCTCCCGTATCAGGAAACCAGGGGAGGGGGCTGGTTCTATCGGGCCGTCCCTCTCTGAGGCCTGCAGCTCACTGGAAGAAGAGAACAAGCAACCCCGACACACGCCTCCGTGCTGAGGAGGCGCTCTGCGCGCCACAGCAGTGACTTATTCTCCCCTCAGGGTCAGACTGGGGGACAGCAGAAGCAGCGGGCTTGCCTGCTTCCTGAGGGTGGGCAGGGGACCTTTGGTTTGATCCAGTGCAGCTCTTCCCATGAGAACTCAGCCTACGGAAGTTGGGAGTGAGACAAGGGCTGCCTTGGGTGCTCATTCCCAAGGGCTGCTGCCGGACTTCAGAGGAAGTGGAATCAGGATGTGAAGCAGACCTGCGGGGAGCCTGGGAATGTGGCCAAGCTGGGAGACGCTTCCCACAAGGCCAGGCTCCCCAGGTGGGCAGGAAGCCTCTGGGGACAGCCGAGATGTACGGCTATCGGGAGGGGACTTGGAGTGGGGGGGGAGGTTCTCAGGCTCAGGTGAGGCGGACATGGCTCGTTCCCCAGCAGAGGAGGGTGGCCATATGAGAGGACGGGCATCAGGAGAGGAGGCGTGCCTGCTTTCAGAAGGCCCTTTCCAAAGGAATCGGGCCCAGGGATGCTCCTAAGGCAGGTTCCTAAAGCTGAATGCTGGATTGGGTTCAATGAACCACTCTGTGCATGCTCAGAGATTCACTCAGGGTGCTTTGTGTTGTTTGGGCAATCAAGAAAGCTCTGCAAGGTAAACAGTCTGCAGCTTTTGAATGCAGGAAGGAGGAAGCCTGCTTCCTGACACCTGACCTTTCGAAATTAATCCGGTCTTAAAAACCAGTCAGCAGCCTTTTGGCTATACCAATCAAATGGCTGTGCCCTCATTTGCTAGGAAAATAAACGGCAGGCAAAGTAGGAACTCTGCATCTTCATCTGCTGTGAAGGTAACTTGCGTCACCAAGTTCCATGTGGTTTGCACAAAGCTAAAGGTGAGGCTGTTAAACGTCTGCTGCAGCCAGGAGCTGTTTTGGGAGGGTGAAATGTTCTATCCTTACCTAACCTTGCATGCATTTCCTCTGCTTCCCTGAGTCCCACTCCTGAATTCTAGTTTAAATAAGAGAAATCCTAAAATTAACTTCAGATTCAGAGCATGCATGCATGCATTCATTCTTCCATATTTGCCCTCCTGCCCCTTGAGATCGGCAGCGGAGGCCCTCCTCCGGGAGCCCTCTGTGAAAGATATTAGTATCCAGTATCCAGAGGAGGGCCTTCTCTGTGGTGGCGCCCCATCTGTGGAATGCGCTCCCCAGAGAGGTCCACCTGGCACTGTCGTTATTTGTTTTTCAGCTCCAGGCCAAGAATTTTTATTCAAACAGTATTTTAATAAGTTTTAATAGTCTTTTCTATGTTTTTAACTGCAGCCAGTGTGGGTTGGGAATTTATTTATGTTATATTTTATGTTGTAAGCCATCCTGAGGCTTTTTGCAACAGGACGGCATATCAATATTTTAAATACATTAAATTCATTCCTTTTGTATGCCACCCAATAAAAGAAGTTCTTGGAGTGGCTTGCAAAGGTTAAAACTTACAGTATTAAAGCCATATTTGTACAGACAGATAAATGTACAACACAGAGAGAGACATACATATGTCTGAGAACAATTTGCAACAATCAATAATAAGAATTCAAGACCAGATTAAAAACCTCACCACATGCTAAGAGAAATGGCTGTGAGAAAAGAGACTCAAGTGTAAGGATATTTCCCCGGAGACCAAGGTCACACTCCGCCATGGGCCATTTCCAATCCCTGTTGTGGGTGTGAAAGCCAGACAGTGCAATAAGCTAGACAGGAAGAAAATAGATGCAATTGAAAGATGGCGCTGAAGGAGAGTTTTGCAAGAACCTTGGTCCAGAATGAACCAAGTCGGAATTTTCCCTGGTAGCGAAAGGACAAAGCGGAGGCTGTTCTTCTTCTGCATCCCGGGAAAGCAAGATTCCCTAGAGAAGAGCATTCTGCTTGAAGGCAGAGGAAGAAGGGAAGGCCAACTCGATGGACTGATTCCACCGAGGAGTCAGGCTGGCAAGGGCTGAGTGGGGCTGCCACGGACAGGACATGTGGAGAGCATCCATTCACGGGGTTAGCGTGGGTCAGAGGAAATGGATGGTGTGTAACAGCAAGCGCAAGAGAAGAAGAAAACCTTAACCTGGTGTCAAAAGGATAACAATGCTGGCATGAGGCAGACTCCATTGCGTGCCTCATTCCCTGATTAGGGGACCATCATGGAATAGACCCCCCTCCCCCGTTTATTGCATTTTGCTCAGAGGAGTCGTAGATGAAGAATAATGATCTTATGATCATGAACCAGTCATTAGCACGATAATGGTTGGTTCATGTGGGGAGAGGGACTCCGGGGGACTGCACTCCCGGGCTGTGTCAGGCTGGATCAGACGAAACGGGAACCTTGTTTTGAGCTCAGAAATATCCAGGGTGCCCGGGCAGGTGGGCCAGAGTTGGAGCTGCACGTTCAGAACGCCTGCTATGAGCCACCTTCTCCTCTCTTCGTCTCTCCCTCTGCATTCCCAATCTGAGCCCGTGGCGCAGATATATAAATAAACATTTTATAAATACTTATAATAAAATATAAATTTATAGATATTTATAAATAAATAAATGCAAGTGTTAAGATTTCCTGTAAACATATATTTATAGTGTTACAGTGCTGTTTGTTATAGTGGTGTTATCGTTTTAGAGTTAGGGTTCGAGTTAGATTTACATGCCACGGGGTGTGAATGGTGTTCTAAACAAGCACTTCTGCTCTTCTGAGTATTTACAAAACACCACAAAGACAAAATCTTGGTAACATATTGTGTGGTATCACAGCGGCTTAACTTTTTAATTTCCCCCTTGATTTTATGAAGCGTTCAGTGCATTTCTCTTGCCTATTTTTATGGAATGTCATAAACCATCCAGGGAGGTTTGGTAGTGGTGTGGGATAGAAATGAAATAAATAAGAAGAAATAATGATTGAAGCTTTTTTCTGTGCATGTGATCTTAGTGTAGCTTCATGCCTCCACACTTTGGGGAATTGGAAGGAATGGAAAGAGCAGGGATGTGACACCGGCCATCTTTACAGGGTGGGCGGGCGGGCGGTGCCTGGAGAAGGCCCTGCCCCTGTTCTGATTCTATATTGCTTTGGATACACAGAATGTTCAGTCTGTGAGCATCTTCCCTGGATGGTGCCGGCCTTCTGTGCTACTTGGCCATTTCAGAGAGTCAGGTGGTCCAGGTAAGAGGCAGTCAGGGAAAACTACCATGGGAGACGATGGGTGTTGGCGGATGAAGAGACGGGTGGTGGTTGGAAAAGGGATGGAAGGAGCAAATGGACTGGATACAGAAACAGGTTTTTCTCTCCCTTATCCTACGCTGCTCACCCTTACTGTTGACACCGGGGGCAGCCGGAGATCCGGGTCAGATAAAATGAAGGGATAATCACTGATATATTTACGCATTTATGACTGCTGCCAATCTGGTGTTTACAGATTGGGCTTAATGGGAAGGTCTAAATTCCTGTTTCCTTGACTCAAGGTAGTTCCCAGCAGTCAAGTTAAACTACAGGCATGAGATCGTGTAAGTGAGTGTTTTCGGTCTTCTTTGCCTTCAGGTCAGCTATGTCCAGGATCCCCAGATTCTCCGTCCGCAAACAGGGCCGCCATGTCTGAAGATCCTGCCATGTCCGGAGATCACCTCCTCAGCAAGCCAGAGAAGGTGCAGGTGGTGAGCCGGCTCCTGAAGCAAGTCCCACCAGGAGAGTTCAAGGAGGCCTTCAGTGACCTGCGCACGCTGGTGAATGATGACACCTTGATGTGTGAAGAAGCCGCCAGTCTCTGTGCTGTGCACAACAAGGACCACTTTACTCCAGTCCAGTCAGAAGAATGTGAGGTTTTGCTGACCCGTCACAATGAGCTGGAGGAGAACCACTTCATAGACCCTCAGAAGAAGATCTCCTTCAAGTACGACCACCTGAGAAGGATGCCAAGTGACTTCCAGGCTCACCCTGAAGAGGATGAGAAAGGAGAGGTCTGGCGGAGAGCCCTCCAGGAGGCCCTGAATGCCTATGTGTGCAGCCACTACCCTGAGGGGCTTTGCAGTGTCTTCATCAAGGATACGGCTGTGAGGAAGATCTTTGTGGCTTGCATCGAGAGCCACCATCACAAGCCCTCTGCCTTCTGGAATGGGCTGTGGAAATCAGAATGGACCTTTGCCTTGGCTCCTGCGTCCACTTCCACCCAGGTGACTGGCACCATCACGGTCCAAGCACACTATTACGAGGAGGGCAGCATGCACCTGACGCTCCTCAAGGACGTGGAGGAGACTCTGCCGGTCTCTGCCAGCGAGTCCCGGACAGCACAAGACTTTGCGATGCTGGTAGCCAGACTGGAAAACGACATCCAGCGTGGGCTGATGGAAGAGTATCGCCACATGAATGGCACCTACCTGAAGTCCTTCCGGAGGCAGTTGCCCATCACACACACCAGCCTGGACTGGGAGAAGGTCGTGACAGTGAAGACGGTGGAAGCTCGCTCCATCCAGTAAACGTCCCGCTTCGACAAGGTCGGGGGAGTGGAGAAGACATTGCGGTGGTGGAAGATTTGTTTGTTTGTTTTGGAATAATCCTTTCAAAGAAATGAATATTAAAGCATAAGTAGACCAATAAAAGCAAGGGGAAATAGGTTTGATATGCCTGCAGACCTGTCCTGGAAAGTGGAAGCTCCAAGCACCCCTTTCATAAGCTGAGTGCGAGTCGTGAAAAGCACGGGGAGAGAACCGGAGGGATGCCTCACTCTGCAAAAGTCCCAAAAAGTGTGGCATGTGAGGTTGGCATGTGCTATTTGAGAGCATTTGTACCATGTTGAGCTTTAAGAAGCCAAGGGCCTTTTACAGCCAATCAATCTACTATCTGTCCCTAGAACATAACCTCTCCTCTGAATCTGGAAAAGAGAAACTATCACGGTACAAAGGGAAGATCAAGAGATCTGCCTGGAAAGAGCAGCTGTTGAAATGTGACCAGAGTGGGTCACAGAGAGATGGCTTTGTCAGAGGTTCTGCAACCCCCTTCCCTAAAGATCTTTGGGGCAGCAGCTTGCAATGAGCTGGGCAGGGCTGCAGACAGAAACCCTCCCATGTCTGAACCATCAGCCAGGTGGTTGTACCAGCTTGGGTGATCCACTGCTCAGTGGGTTCCTTGTTCTCACTTCTGCTTCCTGGAGAGATGTCCCCAAGAAAGGTTTGGGATGCTTCACCAGCAAACAGGGAGCTGTGATGTAAACTGAAGATCATTGGATAATATATTGATGAATGCAGAAAAATTCCTAATGCTCTGATGCACATGAATCCACCTCTGCGCACAGCAGAGGTTTGCATGGCGTAAAATTCTGCAGTGTTTTTTTTAACCAGGACTTGGTTGTCACAACATCTGAAGACTGTGGACTTTCGTGAGAGACCACATTGAGGTGGCAAAGGCCGGCCCGAGGTTGCTCCACCATCAGGGTTCACACTACGCACCCCTGTGTGATTACCCCAATTCAGTCTGAGCCTCTCTCTGTCACAAACATGGCTTTTTAGAGGTTACATCAGCTACAGTTGTCTCTTCTTGGAACACAAACACAAACAAAGCAGGAAAGAAGGACTTCGGTATCACAAACAGTGACCATCTGGTGAATTTTACTCCATCTTATATCTGGGGATTTGAAAATACTAAGCATAACAGCAAATTAATATTTTTACCCCCCAGAAGCAATTCTTTGAGTTCATTGAGAGAGTCTTGGTATTAGCTGCAGTTGGCCTTGTGAGAAATATAAGCTGCATAGCTTTGGCTATCCTTTAAGCTAATTCTCTTCCAATTTTTTTGCATCGGTGTGGTGAATCTCCACTCTCCTCCTCCTGGAATTTTCTAGCAATTTCCTAGCAGCAATTTTTGATCTTGCCTGAATTTCCCCATAATCTGCTTAAGGCTCATTTCAGTTTGCCCCCTGTTGTCATGGGCTCTTGTTAACTCCTTCATACAAGGAAAAAATGTGCATTTCCAATGCTTTACTTCTGAGTCTATTGCTTTACCATTACAACTTGACCTCCAACGAACAGCAGTGTGACAATACATGCATATTTCAAAGGGTGAGATTTCTAAAGTACGTATTTTCCAAATATGATCCAAACTCAGAAATTTGTGCAGATATCTTTTTTGGAAGAAACATCCTACCCACATACGCAAAAATTAGTTTTCATACTTTGTGCGTGGAAATAACATTCTCACTGGCAACAATTGTGATTTGACCAATGTGAGCCCTTCTCCTCAGGCTTTGCAAGTGAGATTTGGAAGGTGCCAAGTAACTGAAAGGCGGATAGAAACTGAAACCGAGTGAGTCAGAAGGGGTCTCCTGGGCCATCTAGTCTGACCTCCGGCACCAGCTGGCTCCGCTCACGACATGCCCACCATGTGCATGTCTAGCCTATCCTTGAACACCTGCACCGATGGGGCCTCAACCACCTCACCTGGAAGCCCATTCCACACCCTCGGAGTCCTGACTGTCAGGAAGTGCTTCCTGGCATCCAAATGGAACCTGGTTCCCTGAGCTTTGCTCCGTCGGGGCGCGTCCTGCCTTCCTCTGCAGGGGAGAACAGGTCTCTACCCACCTCCGTGTGACACCCCCTCACATACCTGCATGTCGCCAACAGAGCCCCTCTGAGTCTCCTCTTCTCCAGGCTGAAGAGACCCCGTTCCCTCAGACTCGCCTCATACGGCACCCCCTGCAAACCGGCCACCAACCTTGTGGCCCTGCGCTGCACTGACTCCAACCTGGCTACATCCTTCCTGTAATGAGGGGCCCAAAAGTGAGCTGTTCTTGTGACTTGGCCACCAGACCCATGGGACATGGGAAGGGAAAGGAGACATTGTTGGGACTGATGGGGTGGGGGGACACATGCAAAGGTGTGGGATTTGAGGGGTTGCGATCCAAGGACACACCTTTTGAGGTACAGCCAAGCCTCTGCAGAACTGGGTGAGGAGTACCCAGCTGCCCCCTTGGAAACCATTTTCATGATTGGGGAATACATTTCTGGCCCTCCTGGGTGGGCACCATCTCCGGTCTCGCCCCTTTCCTTCCAGGTGAGGCTTCAGCAGAACCAAGCAGCAAGGTCATCACGGTCAGCTGGAGAAAACCTGCACGTCGGTTCCAGCATCGCGCAGAGGGATGGGCCATCGGCAATCCTTCATGCGCACGTGTCAAGTTTTCTTCTTCTTGGCAGCCCAGCTGCTCTCAGCTGGGATCCAGGAGGGCTTCATGGTGGGCCACTGGTGGATGGTGGAGGCTGAACGTGCAGGCTGGTCAGAGGGCAGGGTGTTGGTAGTGCTCCCTGCTGTTTCTTTGAGTCCACGTTCTCAGAACGGGCTCCGAAAGGCCCTCATTTGCTGGGTGAATCTGCAATGGGAGATTCTTTGGGAATTCATGAGATGGGAAGGAAGGAAGGAAGGAAGGAAGGAAGGAAGGAAGGAAGGAAGGAAGGAAGGGTGGGATTGCTACTTCCACTGAATCACGCAGGAGCGTGTCAAATGTGGGGCTCCTCCACAGCAGCTGCGTGGGATCGGATCGGAGGCAGGAGACTTCTGCCAGTGGGATTCTCCTGGGAACCTTCCACAAAGACACACCCTTCCTTGACAGATTTGCATCTGCTCTGGCAGGGAGCCCCTGCCAGACCATGTTTGGTCTGATCCATCAAGTAGTGCCTATGACATATTATGAGTTGGAGGAGACGTGTTTCCAGGTCTAGGAGGCCAGTGGCCAAGGCTTTCGGGGGGGTTCGCAGCAATTCTGGAGAAGACAACCACAATCGCAGTTAAAAAACCAGCCTCATGTTTTCCCAGCAGACACGGGTGAAAGTGACTTCACAGCTCAAGCACTCTTAATTCGAATGACTTGTTTCGGAAGCCTTGGACAGGGAGTTCCAGTTGTGCCGTGCAAGCCCTCCTGTGCCATTCCGGGCCAGGAAAGGAGGACGGTCTGAACTGGCCGCAGGAGGACAGGGCTGGTGCGAGGCAGCCTCTGACCCCGGGGAACTGCAGGGGGGGTCTGCAGGGCCTGGGGGGGGGGCATGTTGCATCACTGGGGGGCAAGCCTCCCGCCGGTCAATGGCAGCTCGAGGCCTGGGGGGTCCTTGGCAAGGGAGGGTGGGACTCCTCACATTTCTCAGGGGGGCTCATCCTGGAATAGCATGGCTCCCTCTGCTCTACACAGGGAGCAGCTGGGCAAGGAGGTGCCGGAGCAGGGGCGGGGGGAAGGAAATGGAAAATAAAAGAATGAATGAAGGGAGAGGGATGGGGACAGGAGGGAGGGAGGGAAGGAAGGGGCTTGATAGGGCACCTTCTGCGAATGACGCATCCAAGTCATGGCAGCAGAAGAGGAGAAAGAGGACTGTGTGTGTCCTGCACATGCCCACATTTCGAGCATCCATGATTCATAAGATCCATCCTCCCGAGAAATGCCTTGCAGAGGCTGGGGCGAAGGGACGTTGTTCCTGCTGGGAGCAAGTTGCGAATGACTGCAAAGCTGGGAGCCGAATTCCCAGTTTGAAGTAGAAATACTGGAGAGTCTGTATGTCATCGAAGTGAAAAACTTCACTCACAATTTTATGCACCACGTCTGCATGACAACCTCTTCCTTCTTTTCTAAAACGACGGGCTTGTATTGAGCAAAAAGCAAGACTAATTCCATGGAATTTAGAGCCAGTGTGGCATCGTGGTTAAGAGCCTGGGATTGGGACTCAGGCGATCCGGGTTCGAGTCCCCGCTCAGCCATGGAGCCACCTGGGTGACTTTGGGCCAGTCACAGACTCTCAGCCTGGCCTACCTCGCAGGGTTGTGGTTGTGGGGATAAGATGGAGGAGGAGAATGATGTAAGCTGCCTTGGGCCCTTTGTAGGAAAAAGGCAGGATAGAAATCGAAAATAAATATATAAATAAATATGGAGCTCTAACTGGACACAGTTCTTGCTCCATTGGTCCATTGCATTCGTGTTGTGCATTTTAAGGCATTAACTGCTGGTCCTTTGTGCGGAATTGCATTGCATGCAGGCTGCTCGAAAGGTCCTCCTAGGAAACCAGAGGTTAAGCAGGAAAGACCGTGCTCAGGACAAGAAAGAATAATAAGAACAAGAACGCAGGGAAAGAAAGAGCACAGAAGCGGTCAGGACAGAAAACGTGGCAGGGGATGTCAAGAGCAACAAAGTTTGTTAGAACAAGATGAAGCAAAATGGTTTGAAGATGCAGCATGGATGCAACTGGAACAACTGAAAAAGGTCCTTAGGTGGAGAAAACAGGGGGGATGTGTTTTTTCTGTGACTTCACATGGTGAAGTTGCCCTGAACTCCTGTTCCTTATAAAGTTAGCATTGGAATAACTGCTGAATTTCTGTCTTACAAAACCTGCAATACAATCAAAATGTGCGTTTGCTTTAACTTTGCTCTGATTCTGGCTTTTTCTGTCACAGGCGCAATGGCCTGACTGTGCCATCCCGTGTCTTGGGTTGCTTTGCTCCTTGTCCAAGAGAAACCGGGGCAGCTTCCCCCAAAGTACTCAGGAGGAATCAGGGGCATTCCCCCAGTCCCAGCAGGGAGGCTCACAAAAAGGAGGGTGTGGAGGGGCTTGAGTGTGCTGGAATCCCTGCCTTTACCCAGCCCGACATTAGCCAGGGACTCCTTGTCTGGTATGGGAGTCGATGCCTTCTCGGCACGAGTGAATCTCGAAGTGCCTGGGACTCCCTCTCCTGGGGACATTTGCACATTGAAAATGAGAAAGGAAGGCATTTCTCTGATCACTCCTAAGATCCCAGTCTATGAGGAAAGGCGTGTTTGTGGCTATCGTTTGTGCAAACACCTCGGATCTGGTGCACACACACACACACTGAACTTTAGTACGTCTGGAGCTTTAGCACATCTTCTCGCTTGCTTGCTAGCTGTGAAGTTGCGTCTGACCCATCGCGACCCCATGAACAACATCCCTCCAGGCCCTCCTGTCCTCCACCATCCCCCAGAGTCCACTTAAGCTCACGCCAACTGCCCCAGTGACTCCATCCAGCCACCTCATCCTCTGCCATCCCCTTCTTCTTTTGCCCTCAATTGTTCCCAGCATTAGGCTCTTTTCCAGGGAGTCCTTCCTTCTCATTAGGTGGCCAAAGCATTTGAGTTTCATCTTCAGTACAGTACCAAAACGCACATCTTCCACATCTACAAATACCAGGTGTATTGTCCATTGTAGTGAGTCATTCCTTGGGTAAGAACTCTGAAAGGAAGAGCAGGATAACTTCCACCCAACAGGAGTGAACTATTTGTATCTAATCTCGGAAACAACAATGCCTCTAGGACTGCCTTTTTAAAAACTTGAAAGCTGGGAAGCTGGAGATTATGGCTGGGTTCATACAACAGAGTCAGCCCCACTGATAAGTTGTGTAAGGGCTGAGTGCTGGCTGCTGGTTTTCACCAACATTGGGTTGATGAAGAATGGGTTCTCACGTTGCCCTAAGCCAGTGAAGCTAATCATGGTTTCTTAACTGCAATCAGTTCATAACTTAACAACAAAACGGGCGTTCTTTTCATGGGTTGTTCAGGGGTAAGGCAATTTCTTGGTACATCTGGATTCAGACAATGTGATAATCCGTGTTTCAACAACACGTATCAACAACAGCCTGCAGCCGATCCTGTGATGAAACCAAAATGACATACAGTGGCTTTCAAACAGAAGGCATCAGAAAAGCCAGACGTGCCAGTAAGAAAGCGCCAAGGCTGAGAAGCACAACCTTTGTGAAGTTGTCTTTGATGAGTTTTTGAAGAACTCCCCCACCTCCCCGCAAACAGGCCTCCTGCTTCTATGGGCAGCACTGAGAAGATAATACATTTTCATTCTTGGCTAAATTTTTCTCAGCGTCACTTTAAGCACTTTTCAGTTTGTTCTCAGTTATCACTGACTGCTTTTTCTTTTTTGGTTCTTTTTTGGCCCATTCAAATAAGAAAGGAATACGCATTTCTGATGCTTTACCTCCGATTCTACCTCTTGTAGCATTCTACCTCTGAATAACAAGAATGTTCCATAATCCATATTGCAAAATACACAGATTTCAGGAATGCATGGTTTTCAAATATGGTCTGTATTCAGGAATGTCAGCACAGATCACTTTAGGGAAAAGTTCCTCTACTCATACTTGCAAATCAGACATGTTTTTCTAATTCTCACATGGAAGTGCTAGTCTCATGTCGCAGAGCAGGCATGTTGGGCACCTGGGACGTAAATGCTCACAGTCCCACCACATCGAGGTCCGTTGGAGACATGGAAAGAGGGATCGAAGTCTTTGGGGGAGACATGACAGTGCCCTTCAAGTCCTTGAAAGGCTGTCACAACGAGGAGGGCCAGATCTCTTCTTGACCAGGATGCGGAATAATTGGCTTAAGTTACAGCAAGCCCAGTTCCAGCAGGACATCAGGAAGAAGTTCCAGCTCCTTGGAGCAGTCCAGCAGCAGAACCAGGTACCCAGGGAGGTCATGGGCTCCCCCACACCAGAGACATCCAAGATGCAGCTGGACAGTCATCTGAGAGGGAAGGATAAGCTGGAGTCCTGCACTCAGCAGGGGGTAGGACTTGATGGTCTGCTTGGCTTCTTCCAGCTCTACTATCATACGCTTTTATGATGAGCTTGTTAGCACCGAGGAGTTTCTAAACAAGCTTGATTGGGTACCACATTGGTAGGTCTGGCAGAGCAAAGCTCACAGGAGCACCTGTCCAATGAGGTTTGGGAGGCTCCAAGAAGGTCCACGTGACTTGACTGCCACACCTGTGGGACCTGCAGGCAGAGGAGGGAACACACGGTCCTGAGGACGTCACACGTTGTGGGGCCCAAGGGCTACGTACTCAGGGTGTGGCAAAGCCTCTGCACTGGCCCAGAACTGGGCAAGAGCCACCCACAGCTGGGCCTGGGCCACTGACCCCTTTGCAAAGCCCTTCTGCCCTAGCCCTCACCGGCCAAATAGCTCACGTCACACTCCTCTTTTCTGGGCGTGGTTGCAGCTCAGCCCCCTCAGAATCCTGCCAAAGGAGCAAAAAGCACCAGACTCATCGCTGTCGGGTGGAGAACTGCCCCGTGTTTATTCCAGCATTGCACAGAAAGGTGGCTCTCCAGAGCCCTTCACGCACACGTATCAAGATTTCTCAGCAGTCCCAGCTGCTCTCGGTTGGGGTCCAGGATGGGCTTCGTGATGGGCCGGAGGCGGATGGCGTAAGCCGAGGCTGGGGGCTCGTTGTAGGAAAGGGTGTAGACACTGTTCATCACCCCAGGCTCCTTCTGAGTCCACTTTTTCACAAGGTGCTCAAAAAGACCATAGTTCGTTGGAGGCTCTGAAACACAGAATTATTTTGGAAGCTGTGAGATTTAAAAAGGGAAAGACGAGTTTCTGCCGTCCACTGCATCACACCAGGCAGTCTCAGGCATGGGATTCCCCGTGGCAGCTGCGTGGAATCGGATCGGAGTCAAGAGGCTTCTGCAGATGGGATTCTTCTAGGAACCCACCATGGATAACCACACCTTCCTTGACGGATTTCCTGCCCCTCCGACAGGAAGTGCCCTGGGGTCAGTCTGTGCATGGTCTGCTTCATCAAGACACATTATTTCTAGGAGTCACTGTAGCGTCTACATTTGCATTCTACCCAATAGCCAAATCCTCTCCGTGGTTTTCTCCGATTCATTTAAAACATGCCACAGGTATAATAAAAGGTAGCCTAAACGTTTCTGAATATGCCCAGTTTGAAGTGCTTTAACAGCTCAAGCAATTTAAATTCAAATGCTACCTGTTAGAATCTGCTGGCCTGAATAACCTGCCATGTTGTTAAACACCCTTCGAGGCAATACATGCCCGGAGGACAGTCTGAGAATGGCCGGGAGGGCACAAGGAAGGCCCCCGAACTTCTGTTGGCAAAGGGGGAGCCTGGGGCAGCTTCGCAGTGTGCTGGTTTGCCCGGCCTCCACGCCAAGCAGCGCCCGATCCAGGCTTGCAGGATCCTCAGCGGATCCCCTCCCTCCGGGATTCCTCACCGCCTCGCCAGCACCTGCCCCGCTCCTCCCCCTCGTGCCCATCCCTTGCTTCCTGGGCAGATGCAGACCTTCACCACCACTGCTGCCTGGACCAGAGAGGGGGAGGCGGCTGAGGAAGTCAGTTGCCGGGGAGAGAAGGAGAAGCCAACCCAAGCAGCGACAGCCGGTGTGTTTGGCCAGTGTGTGGACCCAAAAGTGGCACGGGCACAACTATTTATTGATTTAGAACATTTTTATGCCGCCCCATTTGCAAAAAGCCTCGGGGCGGCTTACAAAACAAATAAACCATCATACAATTATCTAAAAAATCCTGAGACATCTCGGCACAGATATAAAATCAATAAATACAATTAACAATTAAAATAACATTTAAACAAAAAGGTCTTGGCCTGGCGCTGAAAAACAAATAACGACGGCACCAGGAGGACCTCTCTGGGGAGCGCGTTCCATAGATGGGGCGCCACCGCAGAGAGGGCACTAACTAGGCACTATCTTGACACTGGCCCCGCTGCCAAGTTTAGAAATAGAGACCTGAGGGTAACATTTATTTCAGCTCACAGAGATGATTAAAAATGGCAGGCACTGTTATAAGTAGTCTAAGGCAGCAAGCCAACGCACCGCAGAAAACAACTCCACCGAACATGGGTGGCCCAGCTGAAGAGTGGGCCTGACCTCGGAAGCCAGCTGGGTGGAGAAGAAACCTGCGGCTGCTCACAGGGGTCTGGTTGTGCCACCTTCTCTCACAACACCTGCGGCCACAAGTCCAGTGCTTGCGAGAGGGTTGTGCCATATTCACGAGGACTTGGTGGCTGGTGACTTCCCTGCCCTGGCCAGGAAGCTGGACTCGTGGTGTGAGAAAGTGAGCTGGATTCCAGGGAGCCGAACTGAGGGCATGTGGTGGAGTTCCTTCCCCCAAACTGGATTCCACACCTATGCCTTGCGCAGGGCATCTCTCAGTGATGCCAAGGAAAGCACCTGGGATGCGGTGGTTCCTGTGGGCACCTCCTGCCTCCTACCCTGTCATTAGTCAAATGAGGCCATAATGAGGCTTTAAGATTTGCTAGTATTTGTTGCTTGCCTGCACAGGGAAAGCCAAGGACTGAGCAAACGCAAGCACTCCACTTTGTTCTTTCGCTTAGGTGGAGCTCTCTAAGTCACATTCCACATCTAATTGCCTCGCTTAAGAGTTTGCCTTTCCCTTCAGCAAGAGGACGAGCCATTCAGGCCTTTGAAATCCAGAGAGAAATTTGAGAGAGGGCTGTTCAAAAGCACCATGATAAAAAAGCAGCAGGGCCACGTTTTCATGGCCGGATGCTGATGGGATGAGCGGCTGCTCTGGAACGCCAAGCCCTCTGCTGGGGAGAAGCTGTAAATGGCAGGTCGTTGTTACGCGATTGCCAAGCTCATCCACAGGACAGACTTCCAGGACAAGAACCACCCACTTCCCAGGCAGCTACGGCCCCACCTTCGCGGTTGAGTTGCCTCTCATTTTCTGACATGCAGGCACCTACCGACAAGCGGGTAGTCCGTCTTCTCTGGGACCCACGCCATTTTGTGCCCGTTCCACTTCCGAAGGGGAGGAAGACAAGGATTATATCCATGCCTGTTGTACTGATCGTCATACTGGGACACTAGATTTTGGTGGCTTGCCTCTTCATGATGGGTCAACACGTATTTCCTTGGCAGGCCCTAAAATGCAACAGACTGGATTTCAACGGTGGCGTTTCTCCTCTCTGAGCCCGCCAGAGGTGAGTGGGGACAGCATGGAGTGTCTTCCCAGACCTCTATCGGTTGCAAGCACAGGTTCACCCATGCTGACCTGTTCTCCCCTGCAGAGGAAGGCAGGACGCGCTCCAACGGAGCAAAGCTCAGGGAACCGAGGTTCCATTTGGATGCCGGGAAGCACTTGCTGACAGTCGGGACCCCGAGGGTGTGGAATGGGCCTCCATGAGAGGCCGTTGAGGCCCCATCGGTGCGGGTGTTCAAGGATAGGCTGGACGTCCACATGATGGGCATGTTGTGAGCGGAGCCGGCTGGTGCCGGAGGTCAGACTAGATGGCCCAGGAGACCCCTTCTGACTCGCTCTGTTTCTATGTTGAGCAGAGGCTTGCAACAAGCAATGGCACCTCCTCCTCGGCCTTGCTGGAGACCACGCTGCCTGCTCACTGGGATGTGGTCTCTTCAGGCGGGACAGCGTTTCGTTGCTGCTCTTACCCATGGGCCCAGTTGGCACTTGAAAGCAAAGAGTGGATGCTGGAAAGGGGCTGAGGGAGGCTGGTACTGATGCTGGTTGCAACAATGCAGCAGTCCTGGAAAGGGACCGGAGGGCCGCTTTATGCTGAGCCCCCGGGGGGGGGGGGCAACCAGTTCCCTGCACTTGTCCTTAAGGGCTTTGCAACCCAGAGAAGGGGGCGGGGGTTGGAGGAAGAAGCACAAAGGTAACCTGTCCCTCAACTGCTGCCTGCAGCACTGGCCGCTTCTCACTGCAGACCTCCTTTGCAGCAAGTGGAAAAGCTGAGGCCCCAATCCACCCCAGCACCTGCCTGCCTCTCTTTAGCACATAGGAACGCAAGAACATTGCAAGCATCACGAGTACCTAATCCCAGCTTTCATCTCTGTGCTTCATGAAGAAGTCCTGCCCATGATTCATCTACATGGGGTGGCCCCAGGCTCTTGTATCATGGAAGAGGGAGAAGATACCTCCACGCCGTGCATAACCCTGAACCCCTCTATCAAATCTCCCCTTCGTTGCCTCTTTTCTGAGCTGAACCGTCCCAGAAGTTGTAGCCCCTCCACAGAGAGGAGTTTCTCCAGCCCCCGATCGTTTACCCTGCCCTTCTCTGCCCTTTTTCCAACTCAGTAATGTCCCCTTTCAGATGTAGTGACCAGAACGGCACACGATCGTCTAAGTGAGGTCTTCCCAAACGTTTGTATCAGGGGAGTATGATCTTGCCAGCTTTATTTCCAATTCCTTCCCTATTTATGACTCACATGGAGAATAATTTTCACCGCAGCTGCTAACTGGGCTGACAGTGTCACCAAGCTGCCCGTGCAACCCCAAGATCCTCTCTTGCTAAGACCCCATCAACCTCCATTTGAAACTGAGATGCTTTGCTCCGACATCCTATTTATCCTGGTTTACACTGAGCTTTACTTCCATTTCATGCCCTTTCTCCCAGCTTGGTGAGACCCCTTTGGAGCTCCTCAAATCCCCAGTAAGGCTTCTGCTGCAGTTGAACCCTCTTGTGGTCAAAATCTAGCCTCGGCCCTTTCCCTTGCGATGACTTACATCCAGTTTTTTCATAATTCTCCTCACCACCGTTCGGTCTGGAGTCTCGATTGGAAAGCTAACAAAGTCTTCTCTGTAGACACTTTTACCGGATCCCCCATGATCTTTTATAAACTAAGGCAATTCAGACAAAGGAGAGGTCACTCATTTTGGAACAAACCTGGATTGCTCACTCTGCTCAGAGCCTGGAGCAAAAATATCACAGCTGCTGTCACTCGACAATGATGGTGGTTCTTCCAGAGGGGAACTGGAAGACCCTCACTGACCTCAGGCCCAACTCACGGGCCTGCTTTGAGGAAATGGTACTATAAGCGAGTTTGTTTGATGCAGGCATCCTCTTCCCCAAATGCCCATAATACAAAACCAGCTACCCTGCCTGATGGCCAACCTAAGAGTGAGAATAACTCACTCAGATGTTGTTTACTCACAAAGTTGTGCCCAGCCCTTCATGAGCCCATAGACAACCTTCCTCAAGGCTCTCCTGTCCTCCTCCATCCCTCGGAGTCCACCCAACCCCACACCTGCCGCCCCAGTGGGCCCATCCAGCCACCTCAACCCCTCCCTGTCCTCCCTTTCTCCTTTTGCCCTCAATCATTCCCAGCATCACATTTTAACCTACATATGCCCAAATCAGATGAAAAAGAAAAGAGATCTGAAAGCATCGGGAAGCAGATATCTGCTACTCTTTTCCTCACTCCATGTTGGACCTGATTCTCTTCAACTTGGGGAGAAAGATTTCCTCAGAGCAGCAGCCCTTTAGCTCTTAAAACCAGGTCCTTCATGTTACATGTTTGTATAGGGCCAGGTTTAAATGACAGGACTTCGTTCACTACCCATTTTTAAGAGAAATGATCAAGTTCACGCTTCTGAGTTCATACTGGGATGGGAACAATTCTCTTCCAGGTTGTGTACTTCTCCAGCATTTGCAAAGTGGCTTTAGAGTCAGGCATGGATTAAGGAAAGCTGTGTCCAAAACACACCTGTTAGGGCAAATTGCAGATGTTTGCACAGTCTGTGCAATTGAGTTATTATTTGAAAATCATCATCATCATCATCATCACAGAGGGATGCAAAAAGTTGATGGAACAGCCATGTGAAACCAACCTGGACCAGAAAGACTGATTCATCCATCACTGCTTTAAACAAAGCAATCTGCCACCCTTCTGTGGGGACAAAGGGCAAGACCCACACCTTGGACCCCCTCACCCCGACACCTTTTGTTGTGCTAATTTGCAAATCCATGGGCTTCTCTGAAAAAAGAGGGATGATTCCAAGGCAGGCTGCTTAGCCCTTTACTCCCATGCCTTTCCCGATAGCTAAATTGTTTGAAAAAGGTAGAACTGGGAGGGCATGATTTTAATTTGGGACTGAACATAAAAGGAGAAGTTTGTCTGTATTATTCAAGAATGGTCCAAGAGGCTGCTAACCAGCAAAACATAACAGGGGAATTATTTTAATCCTGGGACTTACTTTTCAAGACTAATGAATTGCATTTCTCTCTGAGTTCAGCTATTTAATACTCCACTCATCTGCCCAGAATTAGCAAAGCAGCTCCCAGCCGAAAGATCAAAGAAACAACAACTGAGTTAGAAGCAACACCCGCAAAAGGCCCTTTCAAAAACAGCACAGCAATGCGACCATCACTCCACACCCTCAGGCATGCATCCAGCAAACGTGCGGCAGAAACTAGCAAAGATCAGAATGGCCTGGGATGAAAATAATAAGCCTGGAGAGGCACCACAGAGAAGGGTGTCCCACACTTGCCTCCCGCTCCAACTGAGACAAAAGGCTCGCCAAGGCACGTCTGAACACACCGGCAGGCTGGAGCGTGGCCATTGCAAACAGTCCGCAGGCCCCTCCAGCAGGCCTGGAGTGGTCCTCCGAGTCCCACCTGGAGAAATGCTGACAGAAGCACAGCCAGAAGCAAAGCAGGTGCATCACCCCTGAGCTGCTGAACTCAGGTCCTAAACTACGGGCAGGTGAGGAGTCAAATCTGGACCACTTGGCTTCTCAGGTGACCATGCCTCCTTAGCTTGGCCTCTTCTCCTTCTCCAGACCTCTGATGAGCTGATGATTTCCCAGCACTGGCACAAGTTTTTCAGCATTTTTGAAGGATGCACTGCCTCCCCTAAGGCTGAGCTGCTGACGGAAGGAACCTTAAACTACAACAAGCATTTTTGGTCCCGTCCTGTTCCACTTTGACCCACTCACCAAGGTCTTCTACAAAACTGAAATTGCCCCTTTGCCTGGAAGAGCTTCTCCAGCTCTGCCTTCCTAAACCACATAGAGCATTGTAACAAAGACAGAACTTTGAAATGTGGCTGCAAACAGCTTGGGGTTCAATGGACTGCATGTGTCCCTTTGAAATGTTTGCCAGCAATTCTTCTGTAAACAACACTGACTTCCACATTCCCCTGGGTTTGCTTTCCCTTTGCTTCTTTCCCCCACTTCTTTCCTTCTTCTTTCCCCCAAACGTACCTTTTTTCTTTCTTCCAGCCAGTTTCCAATCAGTACTTTAGTAGAATATTTGGGCTCTATTCTCCAACTGGGAACATACCATGCCTGAACATCCCTGTAAGGGGTAAACATGATTCTTTTCACATGCTTTGCTAAAGAGCAAACCCGAAAGGTCCTACACTTCCATCTCTGAATTTGCAGAGCGAGACATCTAACCTTTGGCACTCTGCGGTCTCAGGTTCTCTGCTGTTGACGATCCCCATGGCAACCCTCTAGGCAACGGAGGATTCTACTCTCATGAAATCAATGCTATTATTCACTGAACTCCTCAAAACATGGGTGTGCTTGCATACAAGCAAGAGAAAGGGATGGCTGCAACTTCTGCTGAAGTTGGGTTTCATAGGATTCTGATAGAGGGTCCGCTTCCAAATGGCTGCATGGGAGTCTGTGTTGGGAGTGGAATCAAGTTGGAGAAATCCATGAAGGTCGATAGTGCTGTTTCTCAATGAGCTATTTCTTTCCTGCCTCACATCAGTTTTCTTTTCATATCCAAATGGAAGATGTGGGTGTATTTGACGATATTTATCTAATGTATGCCTTTCTGTACACACTTTTCCAAATGTGTGTATATATATATTTTTTGCAAGGGGACCCTTCCATGAGAGGTGGTTGAGGCCCCATCAGTGCGGGTGTTCAAGGATAGGCTGGATGTCCACATGGTGGGCATGTTGGGAGCAGAGCCGGCTGGTGCCGGAGGTCAGACTAGATGGCCCGGGAGGACCCTTCTGACTCGCTCTGTTTTCTGTGTTTCTATGTTTAATCAGATGCAATTCAGTGTGCCCTTTTACTGAATATACACACGGGTACATTCTACACATTTTGGGATGCACTTTTTAAATTTGCAAGATGGATCCCAAAAAAGGGGAAAATGTGAACATGACGATACCATGGCATGACGGTTTGTTCAGGCACGTGGGGAGTGTGAAGGTGGTAAGTTTAGTTTTAGGAGGAATGGAAGTCAAGGCAGAGTAAACAAGAAGAATTGAAAAAGGAGTAGGGGAAATTATTTTCTATCCTCACTCCCCCGAGAGGTTGGGCTACAGCTCACCTGGCCGTTGTGAACCGTCCAGAGAGCTTCAGTTATTGGGTGGCAAGGAAATAAAGGCATTGACCTCATCAACACAGTTATTATTGTGCATCTCTTGAAGAATCCAAGATTTTCTACTTGGGATGGATCTGTCAAGCGTATTCTTTGGTCTTCTATCCTATGAGACCGTCCACAACAACAGAGAAGCCATCAGCCATGAACCAAAATTTCATCCCTGAAATTCAACATTCAAATATGTATTTGTTCCATTCCCTGTTTTAATATCTCAGGTGTTAAGTTGCACTGAGACGACTTTGCTGGGTGTTTTCATAAACGTTTTATGAAATTGACAATCTCAGTCATCCCCTTTTTCCCAGACGGAAAACTGAACCAGCCGCTATCGAAGAAGCTGATGACCCCATGGAATCCATTAGCGATGTGGAACCACGTCACCGCCCGGCCGTTCTCCTCCAGTCTTTTCTTATACAGCAGTCCGTCATCCCTGAGGACGTCGTACTCGCATGTCAGCAGGAACGTCTCAGGGAGCAGGCGAAGGACGGCATCTTCAGCCAGAAGGGGAAAGCTCTCTGAGCAGCTCAGGTTCTTCAGGGCCTCATGGACCTCATCGCCACAGGCAGCCACCACGGGGGGCTTGAAGCCTCTGGCCTTGAACTCCTCAGGGATGTGGTCTGCACTCAGCCACTTTCTGTAGTGCAACCTCAGCTCCACGGGGACGTGAGAGCTTTCCAGGACCTCCTCGAGGAGTGCAGCGTTTCCTTTCAGGTACTGCAATACGTAAAAAGCCGCCTGTTCCCGGTACAAGAGGGGCACAGCTCGGTTCTGCTGATAGGAAGGCAAGTTGAAATCTACAGCCTGGAGGACAGGGTAGATGAGGACCTGAGCACGAAGCTTTGGGAGATCTGGCCTGCTCGCTAAGGTGTGAGCAACCATGGCGGCCAGGTTGCCACCGGCACTGTCCCCAGCCACGATGACGCGGGCCCTGTCCACACCGTAGTCTTCTGCAGTCTCCAGAAAGTGGGTGGTGGCAGCGAGGCAGTCGTTGAGTGGGGCTGGGAAGATGTGCTCAGGAGCAAGACGGTAGCTGAAACAAAGACCGTTTCAAGAACTGTAAGAAGTTGAATGCCGCCATGGAATCATGGGATCTTGGGGCTGGAGCCCACCTAGCAAACCATCTTCCCCACCTGGCCAACCATCTGGCCCACCAGACAAGCCGTCTCAACACCAATTGTTCTCCTGAGATCTCCAGAGGAGGCCTTGATGTTGTCCCATGTCCAGCAGTGCGTGGTCCAGTATGGAGCACACTAGGAAGGGGCACCGCTTGGGGAATGTTGATCATTGCCGTTCCCGGGATCAGATCGTTAACCGAACTGTCCATGAAGCTGCTCCCCGCAAATTTTTTGCTAAGCCATACTGATGATCCCTGCAAAATAGCCCTTCCCCTTTGAAGCCAACATGGCTTGACTTACTCCACAGACACGACCACCGATTCGCTCTCTCTAGCAAGGTAGCAGCAGTTTTTTTCGTGTGTTTCTGAAATACAAATATTTTGAGAATTGTCTTTTCAATGGAGAGATGCGAGAGGAAGTGGAGGGCGCTCGGATTTAAATATCCGATCATGGACCTCCCATTTCATCACAAATAAAACCAGCAGTGAACATGTAGCCCTGAGATATATCATAGAAATAATGCAAGGACAAGTTGGAAAGAATCTCCACGAGTCATTAGGAATGGGAAAAGCAATTTCTTCCTTTGATCAGGGAAATCAGAAAGAACGCCGCCTCCTAGAAATCACTCCATTTACTTCCTACTCCTGAAATCAAGATTTTTAAGCAAAGAACTATGTGCCAGTGACTGAAAACAAGAGCTGAGGTGGATACTGCCGGGCAACTAGGATCTGAATGTAAGGTGAGGTGCAGCAGCAGCAGAAGCAAAAAGAACAATGGCCTGGGAGAACAATAGCCGTTGGGATACATGTTTCAGCTGCGATCTGCTCAGGCGCTTGACGCAACTCCAGGGTCTTCTTCCAAGTGCCAACCCAAAGGGGGCTCAGAGGATTCCTAATTTTAAATCCCCTTTCTGGTTTTTATTTTAATGCTCAGAAAGAGAGTCATGCCAATTGCTGTGCCTGTTTACCATCATCTTCACAGGAGATCCTCAGTCTTCCTTGCTAACGGGGTTGAGGGCTAGAAACGGGCACCTTGCAAGCTTTGTGGCAATGCATCCTGAGGAGCTGCCCCAAAACCAGAACTCCCATGGGCACCAGACTGCCTGGCCAGACACATCTGGGTGAGAACAGCCAGTTCGGATTCCTTTCAAAACCCCTTGCTGAATACAAGGAGAGCTTGGGTTGCTTTACACCAGGAGAGTCATGTAATGGCCCTGGGCAGGGGAAGCTTATAGATCATTGAGATTATGGAGAAGATAAGGAACATGGGTCCCCAAACTATGGCCTGTGGGCTGGATCCAGCCCTCCATGCCCATTTATCCAGCCCCCCTCAGAGGTTCTGGACTCCCCACACCTGCGCCTGCACCTGCCGCTGCCTCTGCTTGGCTCGCCATGTGATCGTTTGGGACTTGCTCGGAGATCTCCGAGTGAGCAAGCTGCCACCTTGCCACACGGATGCGCGCCCGCCGCCGCCTCAGCGCCCCACGCCCACCGCTGCTGCCTTTCAACTGGCCCCCTGTTGAAAAAGTCTGAGGACCCCGATAGAGAAACTCACGGATACTCCCGATTACCCAGCCACCACCATGAAAATACACGATGCCCTTCCTTCGCCCAGCAGAGGGAGTTTTGGGCTGGTAGATGCGAGCAGAAACATGCGCCAACTTCACATCCCTGATGAAAAGCGTGGGGTCTTTTCCTGGTTTCCGTCCATTGCTCAGAAGCCTCATGAATTTCAGTTGTGGGCAGATATACAGATTCTCCAAAATCTTTCCCTTAATGAGAAGGGATAGGGTGAGACAGGGGGAAGAAAAGTCATGTCCGTGTGCTTAGAAGAGCAGTCTTCCCCACCCTGGTACCTTTCCGATGTTTGCAGTGCAAAGCTCATCAGTTCCAGCCAGCATGGCCAATGGCCATGGATTATGGGACTGGTAGTCCAAAGAAGCAATAGGACACCAGGACTTTCCAGAGCATAGTTCAGGAAGTAGCTGAAGAATGGTCAAGAGGAAGTCCAGGAATGGGCAATCCTGTTTGACCACAACTTGGCCAACGGAAGTCACCGAAGGACTGAGAGAATTTCCCCATGAAGAGAGCCAGGTGGATCTGGGCCTTTTCGTTGTGAGGGAGAGGAAGAAGTTGGCCGAGAAGGCATGGAAGAGGCAGGGCGTTGCACGCAAGCAGAGGCAAGGCATCCGAGCCGGCATGGGGTGTCGCGGGAGAGCTGGCCAGGAGATCCGGCTCCTAGTCCCCATGCAGGCATGAGGCTCAGTGGGGACGTTGGATCGGTCCCGGCCTCTCAGCTTCACCCACCTGCCTGGATTGTTGTGAGGACAGAGGGGAGGAAAGGCTTGGAAGCCCCCTTCAGTTCCTTGTGACAACAACAACAACATTGCTATGGTTTTTCCAGTTCTTTTGTATCTCTCAAGCAGGAGAACCCTTATGTACATGGAGTGCTTGCATAAACATGACGCCCCCTTCATGGCACTAACGCACACACGTGGCAAAAACAGCACCTATGTCTGCACTTTTGCCCTCATGCTCCGGCCTCCACAGGGCAGGTGTGAGGGACTGTCACCCAGGGGAAGAGTGTAGGAAACAGAGAGGGCAGATTTAAACCAGAATTAAGGAAGTAGAGGCACCACAACTCAGAACAGTGTCCTCCATTTCCCCCCAGCGCCTCTTTCTTCCTCTTTCTTCACGGTGGACTTTGAAAGCCTTGTTTGCATTTCCCTTCTAGCAAATATGCACTTGGAATTCGTGCTTTGCCAGCGAGGGCAATTGCAGAAGGAGGGCAGCTGGTGTACAGAAGCAATGCACAGGGAGAAACAAGCTCCAGTCCCCGTCACTTTTCTACCTTACTTTTCCTCTCCCAAAGTTTCTTTCCTTCCTTCCTTCATTTGCCTGTTCTTTCCCTGCAGTTTGACTCTGATGCAAAGAATTTCCCCTTTGTTCTATCCAAAGGACAAGCAACACTTCCAATGTTGACTTTTAAGAAATCAGAAAAGGACTACCCAGGTCAAAAGAGCTCTGCAAACTTGGAAAGACTCCCCTTAACCTTATTCCACTTTGAATCTAAGTTATCCATTCTCAATCTGCCGTGGGTCAAATGTACCTTGGATGCTACCTTTTGCCGTGCCCACCTGAGTGCCAACATTTCAAAGGAAGGGCATGGGACGCGGGGAGGGCCTTGTGCATGTCCTCAAGCCCCTCTCCCCCACACCCTGCTCCCCCCACACATCTGAAGTCAAGCCCCCGCTCACCAGGACAGCCACGCCAATCAAGGAAGCATGAATGATTCGGAGCTTTGCAGCGTGTTCCACTCCGGGAGGGATCTCAGAATTGGTGGCGTCAAAGTAAACGCTTCCCACAACCAGGAGTATCACCGCCGCGAAGACCATGGCTACCAGCAGCATGAAGAAGGCAAACAGAAAACCCATTTCGGAGTCGCTCCGGAGCACGCTCGGCTTTGCCCTTGGTTCCCGGCAGCCCTGGGCTGGGTGGCGCGTCCGTTTCTCCTGCACTCACCAATCTGTCAGCGCATGCCAGAAGTGCTCCACGTCCCCTCCCACAGCCTTGGGAAGGAGCCCGCCGGGCCCTCGGAGTGGCAGGGAGAGCGGCGTCTGGCTTTCCAGGGTCCCGGCTTCTTTCGTTGTGCAACAGCAGAAGGAAAACCCCTTTGGAGGGGAGTATTGAATTACTGCGAAGCTCCAGCCTCTTCGGAGCCGCTAAGCTTGTAAATGGAGAGTTTCATTCTCGGTGCAGCTCAGAGGGATCTGAAGGCACGTCAGTTGGTTGCATTCTTATCCAGAGTGGCCTGTGGATCGTAGGCACTGTAGTCTGACCTGCTGCTGGAGCGGAAGAAGCAGGACAGCTTCTCTGAAGGGAAGTCCTGGCTCAGCCAAACTTTCAGGCACTGGATTCCAGTTCTGGGTGGGACTGAGGATAAAAGTGGATGGGGTGGAAGTCCAGCCAGCACAATAAGAAGGCCCCTGTGTCGTAACACAAAGCCAATATGGGCAAACATGTGGTCTTACGAAAGGGATTCCAACATTTAGGAGCAGCATCTTATTGCAAGATCTTTGAGCAGGCCTGTTGTAAGGAGAACTGCTCTGCTTCCTCATTAATGCAAACCATTTGGTCCCGTCAAGGGACGAGATCCTGTGTGGGGGAAAATCCGCATTCTCCCCACTACTAAAGGGATTGCCACTAAACTCAGAGAGGCCGTCACTCTTGTAGGTATGTGGCAGATGACATGGGTGTCCTTATGTAATTGGATACGGAAAAATACTGACAGTCTGTCCTGGTTAGCTCTGCGGGAAGAGGACACTCCCACTGAGAAAGGAAAGACGTAGTAAGGAAAGAATAGCAGCGGACAGCAACACCCGTGACTCCCGCCAGGGCCATCTCCTGGTCTGCCATCGGTATCCCTTCTGAGACCCTACCTTGGTCCCCTGCCTTGTGAGTCCTGCACTTCCCCTCACTCGCCCAGTTCTCCCACACGAAAACCCACTCGCACACACACGCAAGGATAAAATAAACTTAAATTTAAATTGGAAGAAAAACAAAGCACAGCACAGCACAAACAAAACAAGCAAACAAACAAACAATCAAACCTCTGTGTCAGGGAAGGGAGTCTCCGGACAGCCCGGGCCGCAGCCAAGGGATGCAGACAAGGGACGACGCCTTATCAGTCCCTCAGGCCTGCTCCTTCCTGGTCCTCTCTGCTGCTCCTGGCCCTCTGATCCGCTGCCCAGCTCCTCCCTTGCCTTCGCCAGCCCCTGGCCACTTAGCCTCTCTCCCAGCCTGTGCCTCTGCTGCTCTGCCAAGAAGCCAGAGCCAAAAGGTAAAGGTAAAGTGTTGAACCATCGCTGAGCCTTCCCCTCTTTGCTGCTTTTAAGAGACTTCCTCCATCACCAGCTCAGAGATGGGGCACTGGCATTCCTCATCTATCTCTGTTCCTCCCGTATCCCTGGTGACAGCATCTCCCACCTGTGTTGCCCCCTAGCAACCAGCCACACCTCCTCAAGGTAGGCATCTCTACAGCTGACAGGCTGCTCAGTTCTTGGTTCATGCCCTGGGCAGACCCTGAACCCACCTCCTGCTCCCCCATTGGCAGATCAGAGCTCTTGTCTTCTTCCACCCCCAGTTCTCCTTGCTGGGCCTTTTCTTTACTCCCATGGGATGGTTGGTCACCACCCCAACCAGCTGAGGCGAAGGTGCCTGAACTGCAGACATCCCCCGACCTTGATCTGATACCACCATTTGCTGACAATCCAAAACTGCTTCGTCTTCACTGTCCAAACTCCAATTCCCATCAAATCTATCAACCGACTGCTGTTCACTTTTCCCTGTGTGTGCACACAACAGTAGTATCGGAATTTCAACTGTCAAAAGAGCACCAAGAATCGATTTTCCCTTTCATTTATTAATTTCCATGACATAGGTAAATTATTTTTACAAACATGTACACTAATCACTGTTCCAGTACAACTTTTATCTTTCTCATAACCTCCTCCCAAAAAGGAGGAGACATTGCAAACACATTTGTTTAAAAGAAGCATTAAGTGAATTGCACCATCAGTGAAGAGCTGACTTAGACAAGTCGGTGAGGGCGTTCAGGGACAGACTGAACATGCACATGGTGGGCATGTCATGAGCACAGCCAGCTGGAGCTGGAGGTCAGACTAGATGGCCCGGGAGACCCCTTCTGACTCGCTCTGTTTCTACGTTTCTGTATACAGCCACAGGTATGAATGAATGAAGGCACCAGGATGCCACCCGAAGGAGAAACGGGGAGATGACTGCCAACTGTGTCTCGCTGGATGGCTGCAAACTGGTCAGATATCTTTGGCCACTGGGCTGTATAGATGTTAGCTAAATAAAGAGATCAATGAATGAGTGGATTGCCAGGGACACTGCAGTGTTTCAATGAGCTTTGCATGTGGGCATTGTTGTGCCTGGAGCCTCAAAGAGAGATGGCATGTGGCCCTCCTTGTTCAGAAGGCTGAGGGCGAAGGGCAAATTGCTTTTCTTGGTTTGTACGCACGTACATGGCAGCTGCTGCTTCAGGCTTAGAACTTCACAAAGATGAGAGAGATAAGGGGAGCAAGCTCAGATGCCTCCTTTGGGTTGGCACCTAGGGTCTGACCAGGCATGGCAGGTCCTTCCAGAATTCTCTCTGGGAATGTTATTTCTGTAGTTTTACAAGATGCTTCCCAGGCTTCAATTTGAAAGGAGATGCTCCTGCTGAGAAGCACCAGCATTCCATTTATGATGATGATGATGATGATGATGATGATGATGATGATGATGATGATGATGCATTTCTGCTCACGTAACACACAAAAACTTGACTATGGAGATCAACACAATAAGAGCTGGTAGGCTGAGATCACCTTTTACAGTTTACAAAATTTACACGAAACAGGCAGGCCTGGCCATGTGAAATACAGATTGACTGCACCAGTAATTTCAAACGATCTCGAAGCATCAGGAGCTCAGGCTCGGAACATGCTTTCATTTTGGTCCTAACACTTTTACTTTTTGACCATTAGGGGGCAGCAAGTGTCCAGGACATAATGCTTAGTTCCACACCTGATGGCATCGCTTCTCTCCTTCTGCCTTTAAGGAAACAGGTAGCGAGTGATACGAGGAAGGGTCTAGGGAGCCACTGACAAAGCCTTTGCACTATCCAGATGCTCCGCATCAGTTCCCAACTCAGAGAAAATGGCAAAGTATGCCGACATTGGTGCACTTTGTGAAAAATATGTTTAGAAATAGGGATATATATCTATATTTACATTTCAATGTCTGCATGAATTTTTCTGCTTTTAAAAATTCAGGTTCGTGAGCAAATGGAAGTATGGATGAATAATGGATAATTCTAAGAAACAAGAGAATTTTATATCTTGAAGGACATGATTTACAAATGGGATGGCATGCTTATATGTGGTATGAAAAGTGTAAGACACATGGCTATTTTTTAAATCATTATATTAGAAATTCATTGATGTCAGTTTGGGAAAAGCTAAAGACAGCTTTATACTAAGTTGCTGAGATGGCTTTCTCCTATGGAAGGTCCTACATATCCAAGTGTATTGAATTTTAATATGATTGTGAGATATGATATTTTAGATAATGATGGAGAATTGAAACCGAATCAAGAACTACAGGAGCAGGGTATTGATCTCTCTTGGTGGCACAAGGTTCAAATACAATCGAGATATACTAAAGATTATAGAATGTATGGTTTTTATAAGGAGCTAACAGCATTTGATCAAATGATTTTAAAAGCAAATGAAAAATGATTAAAAGATTGTATAATTCTCTTTTGGACATGAAAATGGAAGGTGAACAAGTTAAGGAAACTATGATAACATGGGCACAAAATTTTGGCTATAATATTGAGTTACAGAAATGGCAAAAGCTGTGGAAAAGAAATATTAAGATAACCTTAGCAACCTCTTAGCAATACCTCTTATATAGCAAACCTCTTACAAACATTTATAAAATGTTTTATAGAGGTATTTATTGCCAAATAGATTAGCAAAAATCTTCCCAAATATGTCAGATAGATGTTGGAAATGTAAACACAAACCTGGTACTTTTTAATCATATGTGGTGGACTTGTGTTAAGGCAAAAAAATATTGGGTTACAATACAGAAATGGCTTGAAGAAATGCTACAAATACCTTTAATATTCAAACCTGAAGTTTTTCTATTAGGCATTATCCCTGATGACTTTGATAAATAATGTATACATCTGATCTTACATGTAATTACTGCAGCGAGGATTGCATTTGCCCAACACTAGAGGAATGAAGAGCCACATATCAAAGAGCTGATTTTAAAAGATTTTGGATTGCGTGGAAATGGACTGATTGACTTTGTCTTTGAAGGAGAAGGAAGATACATACTTCTACCAAACTTGGAACTTTTTTTATTATTGGTTAGAGAAATAGGACTATATGTAGAATTGAATATGGTTATTGATGGTAAAAAAGAGTAAGATTTCAACCCAGTATGTCCAATGTCTTGGGAATAATTGTTGTTTTAGTTTTAGATTTGTAGAGAAAATAATAAAATTTGGGAAAAAATTGGAGTAATTTACCTACCTATCCTACTTTCAAAGGAAGTTGCTATTAACCATAAGCAGCTAGAGAGAGAAATCTAGAATGTAATTATAAGCAAAAGAAAAACCCAACACAAAATTACTGTCACAAGTCTTTTAGAAATGCTACAATGCTGTCCACCACCTTTTTGCCAGAGGGAAATGACAGAAACCCATCAAATAGGTTTATCACCCCATGGAAACCGTCTTCAATGTGGAACCAAGTAACTGGCACGCCATTCTCCTCGAGCCGCTTCTTGTACAGGATCCCATCGTCCCGTAGAACATCGTACTCACAGGTGATGATGCACGCCTTGGGAAGCTGCCGAATAATCGCATCTTCGGCCATAAGCGGAGAGAAGGTTGTCTCTAAAGCTTGCTTCACCACTTCATGGACATCATCCACGAAGGAGCTGGTTGATGGTGGCTTGTAACCTCTGACCTTAAATTCATCGGGGATGTTTTCTGAACTAATCCATTTCGCAAATCTCTTTTTTATGTCACTGGGGACGTGACATCCTTGCACAACACTTTCCAGCACCGATAAGTCCTTGTTAAGATACTGCAAAGCAGCACAGATCACGTGTTCTCGATACAAAATTGGGACAGCCTGGTTTTGTTGGTAGGAAGGCAAGTTGAAATCTATGGCCTGAAGACCAGGATAGATCAGTACCTGGGCCAGTGGTCTGGTGAGATCAGCTGTACTTGCTAAAGCCTGGCAAACAGAGGCAGTGAGATTCCCGCCAACGCTGTCCCCACATATGATAATGCGAGAAGGATCTACTCCATAATCTTTTGCCGCTTTGATGAAATGCATGCTAGCAGCCAGGCACTCCTGGAATTGGGATGGGTATTTCTCCTCGGGTGCCAAACGGTACCTAGAACACCAGAAGACAGATTTCTAGAGAGCATCAAGAATCTACTCTTGCACAAAAGAACCTCTTTGACTCTCAAGATAATCCTCAGGTGAGTTTTCATCCACAGAAGTGAATGGGGACATGGTGCGGGTGTTCAAGGATAGGCTGGACATGCACATTGTGGGCATGTCATGATCGGAGCCAGCTGGAGCCGGGGGTCAGACTAGATGGCCGGGAGGCCCCTTCCGACTCACTCTGTTTCTGTGTTTCTTCCCTGAGGTAGCACTCCAGTTCTCAAATACGCTCTGAGTCTGACTTAGAAGAAAAGACTGGAGAATGCCATGAGAAAACACTGATATTTTTGTGCACCTGTTCAATACTTTAGGCATTTTAGAACTATAATTTCTACTCTGCAGTTTTTAGGGGGCTTCTGTTCTTGTCAATACTTTTCACCTGGTTTTGACTGCTGTTATATTTCCAACCATGTCAGCTCTTACAAAGGCCTTGTTTGATTGATGTGCATATCCCAAATTATTGCAGTAAAAATAAGAATACTATTTGCCTGGCAAAGTTAGCTTCTTTTTTTTTAATCAGAATTTTGTGTGACTTTTTTTAAGTAATTGGAATGGACAAGCCTGAGAATCTTTATTTCTCTGTTATTCCTTTTTCCAGTTCACCCTGCACTTTGAATCTTATTTAATGTCTGGATGAAAATTTATAAGCATTTTATGCACCTTTCACCTAATATTTATGTATTCACAAATTGTTTTATGCATGCATAATTTGGTTGACAAACTTACAAAATTCAGAGAAGTGTGAATTTAGCAGGAGTGGCATCTTGGATTGCAGAGTAGTTCAAAATTGTGGCACTGGGTACATTCAAATCACAATGGCAGATGAAAAAAAAATCTCCTGCATCTCTTGTGGGCTGAGTTAATGCCCCTTTCAGTGCACTGTAGGTCTAGCCAATTCAGTAGCATAATTTTTGTAGAAATTGTTTACTTACCCAACAGACACAATCACAGAATCACTTTCTTTGGCAAGGTACCGACATACATGATCATAGGAATCTGAAAAGGCAATATGTGTATGTCAGAAGAAGCCTTATTACCATGAAGGTCTAATGACCATAGAATCATAGAATAGTAAAGCTGGAAGTGGCCAGGGAGGCCACCGGGTCCAACCCTCTGCTGCTGCAGGACACCAAGTCACACCATCCCACTCAGGTGGCTGTCCAGTTTCTTTCTGAATCCCTCCAGTGTGGGAGAGCCCCCCACCTCTCCAGGCAGCTGCTTCCACTGCCGTGTTGCTCTGACAGTGAGGAAACTTCTCCTGTTATCTAGTCTGAACCTGGGCTGCTGCAACTTGCACTTGATTATTCTGTGTCCTACACTCTGGGATGAGAGAGGAGGTCTTTTCCTTCTTCTTTGAGACAGCCTTTGAGATATCTGTAGAGAGCTATCATGTCACCTCATTGTCTTCTTGATCTTGACCTTCCCCTTTGCGACATCATTTGAGGGACTTATGGAGGGAGAGTATAAGAACCTCAAAGGGTGTTATGTTTGTTTCGGCACCCACTCCAAGCAGAAAGGCAGAGTTAAAATGCGGCATACCAGGGTGGGGACTAGTCGTAACGTCCGTAGATCACATCAGCTCTGAGCAAACACGGGGACAGCTTGAGCATGTTCAACAGACTTCCCCTCCATTGAGCGGGTGGCACAAGGGCAGAGCTGACGGGACAGGATGGCAGGGGTGTTGCAACAACCCTTCCTTCTTCAGACTTCTCCTGCTCGGGGTCTTAGGAAGCGAGCCAAGTGGCGCTGAGAGGAGGTCCAACTGCTCAACCAGGCACTTCCTTCTGCAGCACAAGCTGCACAAGCGAAGACTGTGAGTCACACGCAAGGAAGCGAGATGCCAGTTGCGCGGTGGCTGCATGAGCTCCGTTCCTGGTGGGCTCCCATGGGAATGCTGGGCGCACGAAGGACCGGGTCAGGCCCATGGCACAGGGAAGTGGGCTGGGGCCTGGTCACCGAGCCAAGAAAGAGGGCAGATTGCCCCTTCCAAAGCACATTTCTCACAGAAGCCTCACTGCAGGAGGGGGAAGTACACAGAGCCCAGCACCTCTCTCCGCCCAATCCAGATTTCACAGAGGTCAACATCTGAAAGACCTCTCATGATCTATAACAGTAAACGATAATAGACATGTAGGAGTTGTAGAACAATACTTAGAATGGTGACTAAAAGGGGATACCCTGGGGGATTAAAAAAGACCTGATAAAGCAGGTATCTAAAGTTGTATTGATACATTTGAGGGTGGGCAGAAGGGTGTAAAGTGGAGGCGAAGGTTCCTATGGGCCTCCAGATGCTGCTGGACTACAATCCGCATCTTCTCTGAAGTCCGTTTGGGACGGGCATCGCAAGAACTGGCGCACAGCAGCATCTGGAAGGCTGCATCTTCTCTGCTGCTGCTTTCTCCGGGTGCCTTACTTATACTTCCGAACATCCAGCCTCCTCCATGGAAGTAGACGACCCCTCGCCTTCTCTGATCTGGTCTGGATCCCGCAGGCTGGTAAACCCTCACAGGGACTTCCTGAAATGTGAGATCCTCAATGCTGAGTTTGGGGTCATCACCCAGTTTTTTCCCCTCTTGGGTGTAACGAATGAAATTAATCTTGGAGCAGATGGAGAGGTTCTCCAGAATCTTGCCCTGTTTCAACGAAAAGAAGGAAAGACCTTGCAAGGAGTTGCTAGTAAATGCCAAAAGATAATAAACAAGCAAGCAAGCAAGTAACAACATTTTGCTTCATGTGAGGGATATTTCCATCACAAACCCCACAGATCCCCTTCCAGGATGTTCCGCACCTATATTTTGCCTTTGAACTGGAGCAGGGGAGAAGTTTGTTGGTTCCACATCAGGCCAGCCTCATGCAATGACTTCTCCATGAAACCCACGAGCCCAAGGAAGCCCTGCCCCCTTTCCTTACAGACTGGTGTTCCGGTGCTGGAATTACTGGTGATGTACTGGTGCTGGGGCTGCAGCATCAGCCTTTTTTGATTATCAGGGGCAGTAAGTTTGGACTCCTCTGGGATCTCTCTGTGTGTTTTATGGCTTTGCTATGATTAGCCGCTGCCTCTAATTCATGCATTCCCTTCCCTTAGCCCAAAGCTTTCTTCACACACCAGGATGCATATAGATTCCTTTAGCATCGACAGAGCCAGGATTCCATGGAAGATCATTTCTAGTGCATGTTTCACTCATTCCAACTTGGCTGTTGGAAAATCCCAATCCCCCATGTCACAGAAGAGTCCCTGGCAAAATCCATAGCTCCAGTTCCCCCCCCAGTGAATGTTCTTCTGCCTCTGTCTTATATTTAAGAAATATATTCGCTTATATTAAGCGAAGCATTCTGGGCAGATCAGAATAATTAAAGCCCTAAAAGGTGACATTTATTTATTAATTAAAAGCCTTTATATGCCATCCCATTATATAAAATCTCAGGATGGCTTACAATGTTTCAAGGAACAATTAAAACAACAACAATTTCTAATAGATAAATTGAAACAGAATAATATATAAAACAAAACAGTAAATCACAAAGCAAAACAAGAGTGACTGAACATTAAAAGTTGCTAATTTTTAAATACTGTTTAAATAAAAAGGTTTTGACCTAGCACCGAAAAGAGTATAAGCTCGGTGCCAGGCGTACCTCTCTGGGAAGTACATTCCAGAGTCTGGGGGCCACGGCAGAGAAGGCCCTGCTCTGAGTTGATGACTTTAACCTCTCTTTGAGAGGTTCCCGGAGCAGGGCTTCTCCGGCAGAACTTAAAGGGCGTGAGGGTGTATATGATATATAAAACTCCTGCATAAGTAAAGCCTGGCAATATTATCAAGATTTTTTAAAAAAACAATGCAGTGTCTTTAAACTGATGGCGTAAACAGTGTGGAAGAGTGAGGAGTGTCTTTTGGTTCACACAGTACCAGAAGGACCACAGTGCAGGTGGCAGGCGAGCCTTCCCTGAGAGGCATCCCGCAGCCCAGAGGCCACCCCTGAAGAAGCCTCCTCCAGGTGAGGCATTTGGTGGGGACCCTGCAAGAGGCCTCTGAAGAGGTTCTTGGAGGCCACGCTGGTATGTACAGGAGGAAGCTACCTTCCAGGCAACCCAGGCCCAAGCTGGGTAACAGCAGCACCTTGACTGGGAACCTGAAAAGGACCGGCGATGTGCAACCCGAATCACGAGCACAATGTGTTCCTCTCCACCAGCCCCTCCCAACCATCCTGCCACCCTATTTTGGAGAAGCTGCAGCTTCTGGGCCCTTTCCAAAGGCATTGCTGGGCACACTTGGCAGTGATCCACACAAGAGGTTGTCAGAGCATTCACATCTGCAGCTGGGCCATCTCTGTCTAGATAAGAGCCAGCAGAGCAGGGCAGCTTAGACAAAAGGAAAGGTACGCCACGCCCTTGCCCCCAGTGACAACATCCAACCCAAGAGCATCCCCCCAGCATGGCCCTGATCTTTTGGGGACAGCTGATCTCCCCCAGAACATTTTGGACCTCACATAGCTAAGCGGATGAACCACCCACGAACAGTACCTCCGTCTTCGGTCAAGCCCCAGTTTATCGCACCCCCTCCAGTCCTTTGCCATACACAGGCACGAACTGAGAACAGCCACTGCTCCACCGGGCTGTGATGGAAAGGAGAGCGTGCCCTGGAGGTCATCTGCACACTGGTGCCATCTCAGTCCACACCTCCAGATTTCCTGTACAGCTTAAACTAGGAATATCTGAGGAATCTCTCTGGGAGCAGTGACTGATAGGATTCTCTGGGAGCAGCTCCACAGACTCCAGTCTGCTTTGCATTGGCTGAGCTGACATTCCTGGCCCCTCTTCCCCACTCCATGAAGCTGCAGGTTGCACAACCTTCATGGAGCTCCTCTCTGTTCAGGTCCTTTTCTGAGGCCAGACTGAGGACAAGAAGCCGTACTAGAGGGATGGATTCTGGTGAGTTCCATCCCAGTCCTAAGCCAGGCTTCTGGTCAGCTGGATTCCCAGCTGATTGGATTCCTAGCTCTAGCTGGGCTCTCAGGGACAAAGCACACATGGATAGTTCCATTAGCCTATGCCTGTTAAAATCACCGTATCTATAGGGACATCAACTGCAGGTATATTCTACAGAGGGAAGACTCTAGCCTGTATGTATAGAAGTTTGTGCATAGTCATGGACTTGGATGGAGTCGATCCAACGGGCCTGATGGATCCTGCATGAGGAATTCCCCTCTGCAAAGCAGGGATGTTTACAAATATCTTTTGAGCCAAACTGCCCCAGAGATTTTGGAACTCAGAGTTGTCTGGTCTTGTCTCTACGCCATTCCCAGAAAGTTCAGTCACTTGAATCTCCTCCTCCTCTCCACTATCTTTGCATGCGCATGAATGAAGCATTGCACCACCGATCTTGAGAGGCATGAGAACAGTGGCAGGATAGAGCCACATGTCGCACAAATCCCTTTAGCCTAGTGACTGGACCTGCAAACTTTGGGGTCCATCATCCTCCACCTCAAAGCCTCCTCATGAACAAGCACGATTGCCTTGACATGGGTCCACCAAGCTTGGGATTCCCAACACTGATGGGTTGCAGCTCTTTGAGCTTTGGACAGAGGTCTTTTCCAAAGGAACATTATCAGGTTCATCACTGGGGAAGACTCTTGCTTACACAACTGCATCCCCCTGCTAAGGTGGGCTCGGTGGCTCCGAACACTGAGCCTGATATACCAGCTACCACCCTACCTGGACAGAGATAGTTTTGTGAGAGTTGTTCTCCCTCCGGTAAACCTCCACTGGATCATGATCAAGTGGGGCTACCTTGGAAAAAGGTCTGGAAAGTCCAGCTAGTCCAATACAGAGCAGTGGGACAATTAATAGGAACTGGCCAATTTATTATAAGAACATAGAAACAGAGAAACAGAGTGAGTCAGAAGGGGTCTCCCAGGCCATCTAGTCTGACCCCTGGCTCCAGCCGGCTCCACTCATGACATGCCCACCATGTGTATGTCCAGCCTATCTTTGAACACCCGCACCGATGGGGCCTCAACCACCTCCCGTGGAAGCCCATTCCATACCCCAGGGGTCCTAACCATAAGGAAGTACTTCTTGGCATCCACCCTAAATCTTGGTTCCCTGAGCTTTGCAAACATAAGAAAAGCCACCCTGGAGACCATCTAGCCCAGTGATCTATACGCACAGTGGCAAACCAGCTGCCCACAGGATCCCTCCAGCAGGATGGGTGCAAGACCTCCTCCTGCCCAAGCAACTGGTGCAGCAGGCTGGCCAGCCCTGGGGAAGGAGGTAGCCCCTGGCCAGCAAGGCTAGTAGCCGCTAGTCGCCTCCCCCATCCATGAATCTGCCCAATCCCCTTCACCCGGATTAATGGTCATCGTCATTTCCTGTGGCAGCAAATTCCATAGTTTAACTATAGGCCATATGAAGGAGGACTTCCTTTTATCTGTCCCAAAGCTCCCGCCCACCAGCTTCATGGGGTGATCCGGGGTTCCAGTGTTCGGGGAGAAGGGGAAAAAATGTCTCCTCCTCCACCGTCTCCACAGCATGCATTTCTAAGCACCTCCATCATGTCTCTCCTCACCTGGCTTTTTTCCAAGCTCAGCACTCCTAGTTGTTGTAGCTGTTCCTAAGAGGGGTGCTGCACCAGCCCCCTGATCATTTTTGTCGCCCTTCCTTGCACCTTTTCCAACTCATTAATGTCCTTTTCCAGGTAAGGCAACCAGAAGTGAACACAGTTTTCTGAGTGTGGTCATGCCCAAACTTGGTGCACGGGGAGTAAGATCTTGGCAGTGCTATTCGGCCTAGCATGGAGTTTGCCTTTTTCACAGCAGCTGCACACCGGGCTAACATTTGCATTGCTATGTCCTCAGCCACCCCAAGATCGTTTCAAGCCCAGTCATTCCTGGGTGCATCAGTTCTCAAGGAATCTGCACCCAACCGATAGATCCATTGCTTTCTGGACAAGACCCCACCTTTCATGCAGATGCACATCCCCAATGGCTTCTCTTCCAAGCTCATCTCAAGCTGAAATGGTGGTTTTATAAAATATACAACACTGGAGTTCTGACAGATGCAAGGTTCCCTCGAACTCATGAGAAAACGAAACAGCTTAAATTCACTTACCAGACAAGAGGAAAGGATTAAAAGCCAGTGGAGGATTCGAAGCTTCACAGGCTGGTCAATTCCATGGGGAATTTCTGATGTGGAGAGGTCATAATAGATGGCCCAGGCTACCAACAGGGCAAAAGGAATAACCAGTATTTCAAAAATGATCAGCAAAAAGGTATAGTTTATCTCCATGCTCTCTTGAAAGTGATGTGGGCCAGTTGGCTGGAAGTTTCCGATCCTTGTCCCTTCCAGTGCTTGTAGTTTTCTAGTGATGCAAGCAAAATTCTTCTGGCAGGTTCATCATTTGTGGGAGTGACCCAACTTGTAGTCTCTGATAGCAGCCAAAATGCAGGCGGCCGGGAAAGTGTTCGAAACGGGGCATTGACTTCACAAACTCATTGGGAGGTTGTGCAAGTCAAGTCAACAGTGTGCCGAGGAGATCAGGAAGCGAGGACGATTTCCACAATCTGGCCACATGCTCCTTGGCCACGTGTCGCAGATCCCATGTGGGGCTGTTTGTTTTCTTGGGGGAAGGTGCAAAGGTGGAAGCTTTGGCACTAATTCCTGGATTCAGGAAAATCAGGCTGTCAGAGCTTCCCCAGGATTACTCACTGCAACGGCATGCCAAAACAACAGGCAACTGCAAAGAGGCAGGGGAAATTATGCAACCGTACATAATTATTTCCTGATTCTTGCAGCTAGAAAACCACATTCATGTAGCCAAAATAAGTAGTAACTGGTGTTTGAACAAGATTCATCTTGAGCCCTAATTTTAGGAGAAAAAAACATGCATTTTTCAATAACTGAAGGCAGGATAGTAGCCATACTGTTCTTCTGCTGAACTAATTAAAAAAAGGAGAAGAATGCGCTTCCTCAGGGTAGAAATGGGGTGAATGAGACGGCCATACTGTGCCACCCATGTGTAAGTTCCAGGTGTCCTATGGTGCAGATTCCTCGGTCTGATCATGTGCAAGATGCCCAGCGCTACGGCCATCTGAACTCATAGGCTTGTGGATCTGCTTCGAGCATGACTTTGTTTTCCTTGCTTCCTCATGGTTGCTAGTCAGAGAAACATAGAAGCAGGGAGTCAGAAGGGGTCTCCTGGGCCATCTAGTCTGACCCCCGGCTCTAGTCACATCTCTCTGTGTCGATTCCAGGGCATTACAGAAAGAAAAAAGTATCCTTTTGCAGTGCCCATCTTGGTGGCACTGGAACATTTAAGGTGCTGTGATGGAGTGCAGAATGCTCACTTGTTCATCTCCTGGCAAGGGCCAACCTGCCTGGTTTCCAACTCGGGAATAAAGCAAGGATCTCAGTAAAGCAAGGAGAGCCAGTGTGGTGCAGTGGCTGAGAGCGCGGGACTGGGACCCAGGCGATCCGGGTTCGAGTCCCCGCTCAGCCATGGAGCCACCTGGGTGACTTTGGGCCAGTCACAGACTCTCAGCCCAACCTACCTCACAGGGCTGTTGTTGCGGGGATAAGATGGAGGAAGCTGCCTTGAGCCCTTTGTTGGAATACAAAGTGGGGTGGGCTTGGGGGGACTCCGGGGGGTGGAGGAGGATGGGAGCCTGGAAAAATGTTGTCCATGGGGTCATAATGGGTCAGATGGGACTTTGCAAGGAAGGAAGGAAGGAAGGAAGGAAGGAAGGAAGGAAGGAAGGAAGGAAGGAATTTGACAGATCTCTCTGGGCGGAGGCTGTTGCTTCTAAACTGTTGATTTGATTGAGCTGAATGGAACTACTTTGACATAAATCTTAAAAAGGTTTATTAGGCAGAAATATAATCTCACATAGAAGCATCATGAATATTGTAATGAATAATAAGGTGATGATGATGAGAATAATTGCAATAATAATAATAATAATAATAAGGAAGGAAGGAAGGAAGGAAGGAAGGAAGGAAGGAAGGAAGGAAGGAAGGAAGAAAAGCCCCTGCCAGGTAGAAACAATACTTTTGGAAAATGCTTAGACACGTGAACTGGTTTACCTCTTGCCCGCAGTGTAGGCGAGCAGGGTGTGTTGGAAGGTAATGACCTCTTTCAGGGGAGCAATTGCCACCATCAGCACTTCCGCCTGGAATTCCCTTCCGGCTCCACTGTCTGGCATGTGGATGGGAGGCGTCAACACAGATGCACCGGGACACAGACGACGGAACTCAAAGCAGGGTAGCGTCCAGATGCAGCTCAGTGCCCAGTAGCGAGATCAGAAGCCGAGTTCAGCCCCCAGGAGCAGGCATCTGGACAAGACGAGGGCGTGGCTGGGAATATGCCAAGGGGTGAACTCCAAGGAGGCAAGCAAAGCAGGACCTGAGCCAGGAAAACCAGGTGGGATTCAGGAGCAGCAAAGTACGGCAAGCAAGGAATCGTGGCGAGGCAAGCACTAGTTCAGGAAGCAGGAGACGTGAGATGCGGAGGCCTTCAGCAAGGCAGGATGCGGCGACGGCCAGGCAAGAGGCAGGCACTGAACCACACTGCAGTGGGCAAGAAGACCTGCGCCGTGGATGCAGCTGCTGGAGGAAGGAGCTTGTTCTTCTATCACTCTTCTTCCGGGTCTTTCCGCAGGGCATGGGACTATTCCTGCAATGGGTATGGTGGCTGTTCCAGAGGGAGGCCTGGAGCTGCCCAGTTCCTGACACTCACTACCATCAAATGGGCTTCATGCAAACTATGGAAGCCCCCACCATGCTCCATGCATCCCTGAAAGCAGACTGGAGCTCAGGAACGCTGCCACCTGAACAAAAGCGGTGGCTGTGAGAGGCTCTTTCATGGGCTTGTGGCAGTGGACTAGGACAGCTTCTCTGGAAAGTCCTGCCTGAAGGGCACAAAGGCCTTCCCATCACAGATCCAGGATATTAGTATAAGCTATTTATTTGAGCAGATAAGGCAATTTATTTGATCTTTTTATTCTCTTCTCCTTTGTGGGCTGTCAGTTTTTGGAACTCCTTTCTCCTTTTTTTTTCTGTGTCCTTCTTTAAGACTTTTTCATGTCGGGTCTGATTTTCATGTTGGATCCAACCTTGTTGGCACTCACCACCCAAGTTGACTAGGAGTGATGTTCTGATTTTTAGTATTATTTTTCTTCTGCAATGAGTTCTACATCATACAGCTCTTTGATTCCTGTTCCAAGTAAATGTGCATTTGAGCTCACAACATGCGAGTATGCTCCTGCTGTTTAGGTGTTGCCATATATCTGTGTTCCGTTAGAACAGAGGTTAATCCTTTGTGGGCACCCAAATACTTTTGTCTATAAGTCTTACTGCCCTAAGCCAACACAACCAGTAGCAATGAAGAAACTAGTGGAAAACAATCTGGAGAGCCACAATTTCCTCACCTCTACTGTCAGACACTTGCATCAGGTTAGGCTTGCATGCGAATTTTGTTTCAGCTCACAAATCCTCCAAAAATTCCTCATTTGCAGTCCCAAGTGAGAACAGGCATGCATACCCCCCACAATTGTCCATAAATGTCTGAACTTGCAATCATGTTTCCCAAGTGTGATCATGGGAAAGGAACAATATTCTCAAAATGCACCATTCTCTCAAAGTGAATAACTTTGGAAAAGTCCCCCGCTTTTTAAAAAGCGCACATTTTCCCCACTTTTACGTTATTATTCATTATTATTTATTACAAATATTTGTATCCCGCCCTTCCGACAAGCGCTCAGGACAGCTTACACAATGTAAAATTGCAATAATACAGTAAGAAAACCACAATTATTAAAACAATATAAAACAGGACATCATAAACGAAGAGAAAAGAAAAGGGAGGAAAAGAATAGGAAATGTGACTGTGGAGAGAGGAAAAAGAGAAAAAAATCTCAAAACATCTAAAATGCTTGATTATTAAAATGATGGTTGAATAAAAAGGTCTTTACCTGGCACTGGAAGGAGTATGAATATTATCAATCTGGAAACTCAAGGAAACGTGTATTTTAGATATTTAAATATGTATTTTAGATAATTAGGGACATGGGCAAACCAGTTTGCCCTGGCAGAAGGAACAGAGCCTGCTAAGTCAGATGCATCTTATTGTTGTAAGCCGCCCCGAGGCTTCGGCGAATGGGGCGGCATAAAAATGTTTTAATAAATAAATAAATAAAATTCATATGGAAGGAGGAGGAGGAGTTGGCAGAATTTCCTAAGGGAAGTGGAAGTCCTTTGTTGGTGTGGCAGAGATGTGTCCTGTTACAATGCAGAGTGAATGAAAACTGATCAAGAAGATAAATAACCCAGTCACGATAGGCGTGGCCTTCTTGCAACGACTCATGAATGGAGAAAACAAGAAGAACAGAGGGCACAAAGAAGTAACGAACGGCCTTTTGCAGTGGCGATACAGGAAGCGGTTCACATCACTGCTTAGCCAGACTTTGACATTTAGCAAATTAATTCCAGCTTTGCAGCTTCATGTGGCAGGATTCTGCATTCATCGTTCTGCTCCTGATAGGACATCCATTGGCCTCTGGAGCAATACTGGAAGTGTGCAACAAGAACTTACAACAATATATGAAATTAACCCTCCTTTAGCCTTTGTGAGGGATGGAGCTAAGCTCAGAGGAAAGAGAAATTCTCAAGGAGGGACAGGCAGCACTGGCACACAAGGGGACCAGCAAGCCCTCCTTCTGCTGCACCGCCATCCAAGTTCTTCCTCGCATTTTTGCAAGTTTTTATTGTTTTAAATTGTTGAACACTGCCTTGATGGCCTTTTAGCTGCAAAGCGCTATGTAAATAGTTGAAGAGAGACAAAGTCCGCATCCTCTGGGTAAGAGAACTTGATCCCTGTTTGCTCACTGGATTTTACCTGATGGTATCAGACTATCTTATCTGATTTCTCTTCAGAATGCATAATCTTGTAGAACTTGCCAGACAATCCGGGAAATCCGCCTAGATAACCATGTGATAATTTGGAGTCTCAGCTCCAGCCTGGGTAATTCTCTTGAGGGTCAGAGCAGGGACTCCAAATTTGGAGCACCCACCCGTCACTCTTGCAAGCGGCATGGACAGGACCATGGCTGGCTGGGATTTCAAGATTGCAAGACCGACCTTGGGGCCAATGCTGGAGAGGCATTCTGGGGAATGAGGAGGGGACCTCTTGGACATGATGAATCCCACCAATGCCTCGCTCTCCTCTGTGTGAGCAGATACAAAAGGCTTAGATAGCTGCGTCCCTTCCTGGAGAACGACTGCCTGGCGACAGTGACACATGCACTGGTAACTTCCCGATTAGATTTCTGCAACGCGCTCTATGTGGGGCTGCCCTTGAAGACGGTCCAGATACTTCAGTTGGTGCAGAATAGAGCTGCCAGACTGCTGATGGGGACTGGGCGTTGTTCTCATATAACCCCAGTTCTCCGTCAGCTCCACTGGCTCCCAATTGAAGTCCGGCCCAATTCAAGGTGTTGGTTATGACCTATAAAGCCCTAAACGGCTTGGGACCTGGGTATCTAAAGGAACGCTTGTGCCCATATATGCCCTCTCACCCCTTGAGATCAGCAGCAGATGCCCTTCTCCGGGAACCCTCTGTGAATGATATTAGGAGGGTAGGTACTCGGAGGAGGGCTTTCTCTGTGGTGGCGCCCCATCTGTGGAATGCACTCCCCAGAGAGGTCCGCCTGGTGCCATCGTTATTTGTTTTTCGGCGCCAGGCTAAGACCCTTTTATTTAAAACTTGTTTTAATTGTTAATTTATTTATATTTATAGGATTTTAAATCTTTTAAGCCGAGATGCACCAGGTTTTAATATTTTCACTGTTTGTTATATTTATGTATTTTGTTTTTGTTGTGAGCTGCCCCGAGGATTTGTTGCGATGGGAGCAGCATAAAAATGTTTTAAATAAATAAATAAAATCAGCCACCTAAGACTTGCAGTGTGGAAGAGGCCCAGAGGCCACCTTTGCCTCCACACTTCCCCTGTTCTTTAGAGGATGAACGTGATCCTCTGAGTTGGAGCATTCCTGGCAGGGCACCAGAAGTCCTTGCCCCTGGTAGGACTTCAGGGAAGATTTTTGCCACCGCAGGTCGATATAGAATGTGCCCACATGAGGGAGGGAGGGAGGCCCTGAAACTGTGGCAGGTGCAATTCCTGTTTTGATCAGAGATAGCATACAGCTTATCACTGAATTACTTTACCAGGGCATCCAGTTGAAAGGCTGGTTATGCACAATTAGATAAGATCCCATAATGTGGCCAACGTTTTTCTCACTGCTATGTGCATAAGAGCTCAAAGGGAGGGAGGTTGTAGTCTATGGCCTCCCACACTGTCTGGGGAGCCATAGGACAGGTCAGAGTCCAGTCTGCAGCCCCGGGGAAACACTCAGGGGCCAGAGCTGGGATGCAGACCTTAGGCCCTCTCTCCACACCTGAAGCCAGCATGGGCTCCGCGGACCATCTCTGGAGCTGGTCTCTGGGTTGGGGTTGGAGTGAGGCACTGTTCTCCAAAGACTCCTGCTGCTGCCTCAGCATCACCTCCTTGCAAGGAGGGGAAACATATTTAGATGGCCAAATTAGCCATCTCCATTTCTTGGAGGGAAAGGTGAGAAGACATGCAGAGAGGCAGCAATGTGCTCTGTGTCCTTCTGCTGAATGCCCATAATCCTTTGAGGTTATGTGCAGACACATCAGATGATGCCCTGCCTGTATTGATCAAATCGAATACAGTAGAAAGCTCAGACTTGGGATGCAAATTAGGTGGAGAGGGGTTGGAATGTGGCATGGAAATGTCAAGCTTAACAAGCAAGATTGTTCAGACACAGACAGTTGCAGAGAACCAAACTACCTTGGGTTTGTAGTGAGGAGTCACTGTAGAACAGTTTGAGGAAGAGGGGTGTGAATTCAAGTGAGCCAGCATCAAGCCACAGGAGCCACCCAGTTAAGGAAAATCTTGCTTAACTGCCATCTGGCCCACAAGCAGCATGAACCTCCCTTAGGGTGGGGTCAAGCCTTTTTGGAAAGGAAGGGAAGAGAGGGGAGGGTCTCCAGTTTGGAATCAATTCTCCACATGAGCAGAGTTTCTCCTAGGACCCGGGGGAATCTGATTGATGCTACCTGAGAACAACTTCTTATGGAGCACCCGGTATCACAACACCCTGTCTAATTCAAGTAAAGAAAGTTTCAAAAGCTGTCTGCTTAGATCTGCTGTAAAGCCTTCAGAACATGTTCAGTACTCCATAGATGAAGCCTGATCCTTACCATCAAAATGCCTGGTCAAGGAGGTGGAGTTAATGGAACTTCCTCACTGAGTTACAACTCAGGCATTGGGTGAGTTGGAAGCAGGGTGATGAAGAAAGAGTTCAACTTAGGGCACAAATCTGACAGCTCAGAACAAAGACATCAGAAAGATGTGGGATGCATTGAAGAGGAGGGGAGGGAATGCCTTATGCAGGGCTGCTTGCATAATTTGAAGACAAGACAATGCAAGCCAAGTATCTTCTTACACAATTAAGAAGAGAGGAAATTGTGAAAACAATCAAGTGCCGGAGGTCAGACTAGATGGCCTGGGAGACCCCTTCTGACTCGCTCTGTTTCTATGTTTCTAATTATTTAAATATTCAGTAAATATACATATCTAATGGTATATTTAATTTTCTGATACATATTTATTTAGCTTTCTAAATAAATAAATAAAATAAATAAATATTGGTATATGGTGATATTTGTATTTTGAGGCTTTTGCAAAGGACGGCATATAAATATCCTAAATAAATAAATAAATAAATAATCCATCAACAGGAACGCTCAATCTAATCTGCAAAGGCATCACAAGATGGAAGTTACATGAAGGAAGCCAATGAAAAGCCAAAGCCCTGTTCCATCTGCTATCATTTATTTACATAAGCTTTCATATACCATTCGTTAGCCAAAGGGCTCTCGGAATCGTGTACTCTAAAAACCATATTAAAACATGATCATAACTTCAGTGTTGATAGAACATCTACACAGCAAGGAGAATGCGACAAATACATGAGCTGCACCTTTCTTTCACATCCACATCGCTCTTTTGCTCCACGTCACTGAACAAGGCCGTGGCGGAAGGCCAGGACACTCCTAATTCTTGGGGGCGCACGATGCAGTCAACTCGCGGAAGCTGAGCTTGTCCAGGTTGGGTTGATATTGCTTGAGAGTCCACCAGGGAATCCCCACAGGATCTTCGTCTAGGTGTCCATGTTAATGGACTCAGTACTTCAGAGAGCAATCCCATCTCCGCTTGGATGCCGGCTGAAGAAATATTAGAAGTGGCATTTCGCAGGAAAACATTTGTGCCTCTGTAACGCCATCTCAGTCAATGGATGGATGGATAAAAAGCTGGGGTGGGCAGAAGGCCTTCATGGCCACCGTAGGGATTGTGGGAGCAATGCATTTTGCCCATGTTGGAGTCAACGGGTTGGGAAATGGAAGGCACATTCCTCCTCGCCTGCAGTCCTCGTAGTAGGGTTGCTGAGACGGTTGCTCCACGAGCATCTTCCGTGCAGCGGTGTGGGAAGAAGCTTCCCGTGAAAACGAGAGAAGGTTTTCAGCCCAGCACTAAGGTGTGACAGGCAGAGGCTTGTTTGGGATGGCAGCAGATGGGATGCTCAGGCAGGCTGGGACTAAAGCCAGGTTAGCCTTCTGAGTGCCTGGTTCCGGGGGCCTTTCCCTTCTCAAGCACATTGTACCAAGATGCAAGGTGAAGATGAGGATGCAGGAGAATTTAGCTTCAGTTCCGCAGGCTCTTCAAAATACCCCGCTGATAACCCCTAACAGGAACGGGAGTGCATGTCCTTTGTCTTCGTGCGTGCAAAATAGGTAGTTTGCAAGCACACATATTAAGAAATACATCATGTTAAAATGCACAGCTTTAATGTACATTTAAGAAATACACACATTCTAAAAAATATGTAACCTGCCTAGGAAGGCCTCGGCAATTCTAGGAAGCCTATAAATCCATGTATAAACAAACAAACAAACAAATTACCGCACTTCCAAAATTCCAAATTCATGTATAAATAAATAAATAAATAAATAAATAAATAAATGTTTTAATATAAATAAATAAATAACCACACTTCCAAAATTCCAAAAAACGAAAATGTGGGTTCCCACTTTGCTTAACGATGGGAAAGTCTGCACTTTGAAAAATGAACACTTTCCCACTTCTAGCAAATGAACAGACAAACTAGCAGAAATGAAGGTGAGCTGAAATCCACCTCCCATGTGGAATACGCTCCCCAGATAAGGCTCGCCTGGTGCCTACACTTAACTCTTTTCGATGTCAGACCAAAACCTTTTTATTTTTCCAGTATTTTAAGGTTTAGATTGGAATTTTAAGTGGGGTTTTATTTTATACAATGGATACTGTGCTCCACTTAGTTTTACTGTAACACTGTCCCAAGACCATTTGGTAGCAAACGGTATAGAACAGTTTTTAATAAATAGATAGCTATATAGATCGATGTTCAAAGAATTCCAGTGAGCTTAAGAAACCCAGAAAGGGTGATCACGTCACCTTTGGCATGGGGGTGGGCGGGTGGGAAGCATTTAATCTTTTTTAAAGCTCAGGCAGAAAGATTCAAGGCAGCCAGCAAGAAGGAAAGCACATCTGAGCAAAATTCCAGCTAGATGGAGGGACCAGGTACAACGGAGATCATCAGGGCTTTTATAATTTTATTTCATCAAGCAGCTTGTTTGCTTGATTTTGCATCCTCCAAGAACATGACAGAAGTTATTCAGTGGTACTTCTGCAAATTGGTTGTCTTTTTCCTGAGGGGTGAGGAAAGGTAAGAGCTTAGAAATATTTGCAGAAAATTTTCAGTCCTTCTCTTCAGCTGAGCATTTGGAAGCAATCTAGCAAGGAAAGTGAAGGTAGTTTAAGTTTTCTGAATAGCCCTGAGAACTTTGTAGATTGGTCACCATAGAAACGTGCAATCAATCACTCAGTGACTTAATTAACTCTAATGACAGTGAAATTCCTCCAGAGCATGAATGGACAGCTTCTTCCCTCAGGGTTTATTTTCTTCTTTGAGCTTCTGCTGTTCTAACTGGTCACCATTGTCCTCAATACCCTGGCCTAGCTTTCTTCTGGCGCATTCTGTGGGTGGGGAATGGTATATAGCCCCCACCTTCCCAATAAATATGGCGGAGGAAAAGTGGTACAACATGTGTTGGCCTCATAAGTTTTTAACGACTTCTGCAATGTCCTGCACAATTCTTTTTGCTGATGGAAGGGTCAATAGCCCATAGCCAAAGGTGACGGCGCTTGTATGCAGGCCGTTCTCAATATGGATCCAGTTTACGGGGACACCGTTGTCCTCCAGCCGCTTCTTGTACAGCAGCCCATCGTCCCGCAGAACGTCATACTCGCAGGTCAAAATGCATGTCTGGGGGAGCTTCTGGATGACATCATCCTCGGCGAAAAGCGGCGAAAACATCACGTCCAAAATGGTCTTCATTTCTTCGTATACTTCCGGCTTAAATGTGTATGAGGCCGGGTCTCGTGGTTTGTAGCCTCTGACTTTGAATTCTTCTGGAACGAGGTCGCCACTCACCCACTTCCTGTACTTCTGCCTCATTTCTTCAGGAACGTGCTGGCCCTCCAGAATGTTGGTGGTCAAGGATGGTTGCTTGTTGAGGAAAAGGCAGCAGAAATAGGGGACCATCTCTCGCCACATGAGAGGCGCTCTGGCATTTTGCTGGTATGAGGGCAAATCAAAATCCATTCCCTGCAGTGCTGGGTAGATTAGAACCTGAGCGTGAATTTTGGGGAGGTCTTCTCTGCCCGCCAGTACCTGGCAAATCCGAGTTGCAAAATTTGCTCCACAGCTGTCTCCACTGAGGATAATACGGGACGCATCAATGTGATAATCATCCACATGCTTCATTAAGTGGAAAGTGGCATTTAGACATTCGTAAAACTGGTTTGGGTAAGGATTCTCTGGGCCAAGACCATATCTAAAGAGAACAAAGAAGGTTGTTATTGCTCTTGATCTGAAACAAGGCGTACAAAATAAAATAAAAAATTCCTGTTTTCTTCTTGAAAATACTCTTTGGCATCATTCTTAAATGCATAATATAATCTCTCGTGTGTACAGTTTCACTAATGGGGGTGTTAGATCAAGACTTTATCATACTTAGAAGTGATTCAATTAAATTAATGTCTTATTAGTTTTAATGCATCGTCTTTAAGTAGAACAATATTAGGCTCCAATATGAAGTGTGTCTCTTAACAAATAAGTATCAAGAAAATGAGAATTAGAAATAGCAAAAGGTCTTACAAAGGTTTACTGCCTGGGATATCAGTAATGAATATGTATGCCACCAATAAAGAACCTAAGTAGCCATTTCCAAAATAGGGTCAATTCTATTTAGCATCCCAGTTTTGAGACCTAATTTGTGGTTGACATTTCCCATATCGTACCATCCTTGCATAGTTGATGTTATTCTGTTAATTTTCCAGTGTGCTGTTGTTTGGAACTTCGTTACCATGAAAATAAGGGCGTTAATTCATTTCTTGGATGCATGGCTTTCATGTCCATAACATCCAACAAGAATATTTTAGGATCGAATGAAAATCCTGCAAGTTTATCATCCTATCCTCACCCCATATCTTTGGATTTTGGAACACTGCCATCAGGAATGAATGCACGAGCTTGTTCCACCGCATCTTTTCCAGGGGTGTTTCACAAATTTCTTGTTATGTCTTGCAAGCAATTTAAAGGCAAGATCTCTTTTACCCAAGCTGAGGGTTTAGAGGTAGAACTGGGTGCTAAACCCTATATTCTTTTTGGCGCCAGATTAAAACCTTTTAATTTAATTGTTATTTTAAAAAGCAGTATTTTCATCATTTTACAGTCACTTTTGTTTTGATTGGATTTATTTGTATTGGCATTGATAATTTTATAGTATCGTATTGTTTACTGATTGTTCTTATGGTTTTTGCTTTTAATCCTGTAAGCTGTCCTGAGGCGCGATAGTGAAGGACAGCATACACACAGTTTAAATAAATAAATAAATAAATAAATAAATAATGTCTCAATAAAGCTACACTTTGCACAGGCTCAGGGATCTCCTTTCTCTTTTGTGTAGTTCCTGTGCGATCTGCTGCTGGAAAAATAACCTGTCCCGAAGCACTGGGAGACTTGAGTTCAGTGTAGGACTCAAGTCTCCCATCCAGATTCTAACCACTCCTGACCTTGCTTAGCTTCCAAGATTAGGCAGGACCAGGCACTTCAGGTTCTATGGAAGCTCAGTTTTGGGCCCCTCATTACAGGAAGGATATAGCCTGGTTAGAGTCAGTGCAGCTCAGGGCCACAAGGTTGGTGGCCAGTTTGCAGGGGATGCCATATGAGGCGAGACTGAGGGAACTGGGTCTCTCCAGCCTGGAGAAGAGGAGACTCCGAGGGGCTCTGTTGGCGACATACAGGTCTGTGAGGGGATGTCACCCGGAGGTGGGTAGAGACCTGTTCTCCCCTGCAGAGGAAGGCAGGATGCGCTCCAACAGAGCAAAGCTCAGGGAACCAGGTTCCATTTGGATGCCAGGAAGCACTTCCTGATGGTCGGGACCCCGAGGGTGTGGAATGGGCTTCCCCAGGAGGTGGTTGAGGCCCCATCGGTGCGGGTGTTCAAGGATAGGCTGGACGTGCACATCGTGGGCATGTCATGAGCCGAGCCAGCTGGAGTCAGGGTCAGACTAGATGGCCCAGTAGGTCCCTTCTGACTCGCTCTGTTTCTTTGTTTCTATGGCAGCAATTTGTGGTTCTTAATAAAGGAAGGAAATTACCTAATAACTCAACAAGGAAACAAAATGTCCTCTGACCTGAGCAATTTGGATTAAGGTAAGTGGAAAAGACCATTGGACTTGCTTTACCTGGATTCTTCCCCCATTTCCTTTCAAAGATGTTTGAATGCTGCCCCTCCCCTTCCCTTTTATGCTACATGTAAAACCATATTTCCTCTTTCTGCCTGCTCAGTTATTTATCTCCTAAAGGTTGGCATTTGTTGCTGCTTTTAAAAGCAGTGCTTAAATTTGTTTTATTATCAAGATTTAGCCTTTGTTTAATTCTTGCTTCATTTTTCTGGGCCACCCTAAGACCTTTGACTAGGGTGATTCATCAATTCATTATGGTCTTAATCATATTGGCTGGAGCATGTAAGGAGTCATAAGTTTTTTAAAATGCCTAATCATGTACATGATTGCACCCTGACATGACAGATGAAATTAATCATTACCTGATTGGGTTATTGGAATGCCAGTTGCTCTTTCATGGAGGAGCTTTGAGCGCCTGGTCCTTCACTGACTCTAGAACTGACGAATTCCTACCCTCAAAATAGATCCCTCAGAAAACCCTAATTAGGAGCATTGTGTCAATCAATGGGGGTCAGGAGGAAATGAGATGTCCTTGCCTTACCCGCAACTGCCTGTTTGTTTTCTAGTGTGAGTCTGAAAACCTAAAACCTAAACCTAAACCTAAAGAAAATCTAACCATTTCAAAATTTCATGGTCAACACTCTGAAATTCCATTTTCACTTTCCTGTCCTTGTTTCAAGCATTTCATGGTGCGGTGCCCCCTCCGAATCTTCATTTTCCCCATTTCCATTCAACTTGTTCTTTTGAAAAGATTCGTTGGAGGGTGGAGCATGGGTGGATTGCCGCATGCAGTGGAACCAAATGCATAGTGATGTGATTGGTTATTAACGTAAGTAAAATCAGGGTTAACTTCTAGAAAAGATTGATGTGCAAGAGCTCAATCCAGTCGTGCTAACAATTCTTTTGCCTTTTCCACAGCCCAACAATTTTTACATTTGATAGAAAAGAAGTTGCTCTCAGAAACAACCAAGGGGGAGAAGATTGCTGTGAAATTCTCATAGCAGGGATTTTGGGTTCTTCTGCTTAACTTAATTATGAGGCCATAATTATGAGGTTTGTTTTTGTCTCTCCGGGACTTCCCATAAGGCCATGTGGTGGCGTGGGCAGCTGATGCTGGAGAGATGCACCAATGCAAGGAAAGCCAGCAATCCCAGAAGAAGTTCCAAACAGCCCCGAGGAACTGGCAGAAGCCTTTGCTTTTGCAGGGGAAACAAATCATTTCCAAAGATTTGGAAGAAAGCTTTTATCACAACTTCATCATGAGGCATAGCAGCATGAAGATGGTACTTACGCGACAGCTACGACCACTGCATTACCTTCTTTCGCAATATACCGCATAATTTTTTCATAGTCATCTGCAAGTGAGCATTTTTAAAATTAGGATGTGTGAGAGTTCCAACAATATAGAAACCATATAGAAGGGAACAGAAACCATAACAAGCATGACCAAGCTGTGAAAGAAGAAAAAAAATCTGAACCTGGAAGGTGGATGGGGGCTTCCCAGTCACGCGATAGTTTCACAAAAGGTCCACTGAAGCAAGAGTAAACCATGTTTACTTAGCAGAGCAAGCAATTAATGTTCTTTCTTAATCACCCCTTAAGCAGGGTGTTCTTACCAAGGGTTCCATGTGTACCAGCTCCTCCATGGAAGAATAAGAAAGCTTTTCGCTTTGTAGTGTATGTTTCCTTAGATTGATAAATTCTCACTGGCACCTCATCAAATTTCTGGTCCTGAATGGATAGTGATGAATCCTTGCAAGTTGGCAATCCTTTTAATACAAGCCGCGAGAAAGACAGACGGTTGTAGAGTCTCAGTTTCTCTAGAACAATTCCCTGTTTGCAGCAGCAGCCACAGCAACACAAAGGGGGAACAAGAAGAGAGGTATGAGGGATTAGTCTGTGGAAGCCATCAAATGGGAAAGGCAGGGTAACCGAGATGACCACCTATGGGGGGCTAAGTAGTTGTTTTGTAGCCCACCGGAAAAGAAAAAAGGGGACTCGTGAAACACCACAACTCACAGTCTGTGACTCAGTGGTTAGAGGCAACTCAGTGGGCCACAAGTTCTGCAGATCTATCACAATTATCACCATTCTTGGGCTGAGGGACAAGGGACTTTGGCTGCAACGTTTGACCGATCAACGGCAGTTGACCGTGTCCCTTCGAGCAGCAGGTCCTGGCGGCTGTGGCATGCCTTACGCTTCCTCACCAGGCAAGACCAGCTATGCACCACGCAGTTCTTGTTCCTAGCCTTCGGAAGGGAAGGTGCGTTACTGCCTGTTGTCCCTGCCACCTTCTTTGGCTTCACTCCTTGGTTATTTGAAGCCATGTGGCTTTTCCCCTTGATGCTCTCAAGCTGCCTCCTTCCCAAGGCTTCTGATTTTGATATGGAGCTCAGAGAAATCTGCAGCCAACTCAAGGGGGTGCCAATGACTGAAAACCTGATTTGCAGGTCCCATGACAGAGTTGCTTTGAGCTATACTGATGGGGTAGATTTTTAAAATAAAGAGTTCTATAATTCTACACACACTTAGTACTGGGGCTTCAAGAACAAATATATGCATTACTCCTCTTAGGATAAAGCATGAAAATGCATGCTCTGAGAGCTGGTTACACATTTTGGGCGAACTTGCAAATTTTGGAGAGCGTGGATCTGTTTTGCATGAATGCATTTGTATAAAAATTCGCTTCTGTCCATGTGTGGACAAACCAAAAAGCATAGATTAAATGGATTGTAATGCAGATGCAAGCCTATTATAACAGAATTGCACAAATGCCTCAAGGTGTCATTCCACCATTCAAGGAAATATCAGACTTTCCTCAACAGGGTCAATACACACATGCATTCTCATGCTTACAGCCTCATGCGGCGTTCTGAGTATACAATAAATGCCTGGCATAAAAAATCTTTAAATCTCTTACAAATCAATTAGGTCACACTTATGGCTTGCAGTGAAAATTTTACAAATAGCTTTCCATGTGTGTGCTCCCCCTTTTCTTTTTTCTTTTCTTTTCTTTTTTCCAGCTTCCTCGCTCATTTTCATGTGCAGATGAATGACATGATACAGCTTATTCAATTTGCCTCCACTGCCACTTTTTAAAGAACTATGCACATCTCTAGCTTTAAACATTTCCAAATTCTGTTAGCAGACTTTGCTATGGGAAGGAGGAATATTTACAGAAAATTTTATTTGTTCTCTGCTAATAATTCTGGAAGACTGCCTTTGCTGTTAAGGATGGGTTATCTGTTCCGACTCTTCTCAGTTTACCTCTTTCTCAATTCTACATTGGCTTTGCCTCAGGCTGTCAAGATTTCTCTATGCCTAAGCTTGGCTCATGTCAAACATTGTGATTTTTAAAACACACAAAGAAACTTTAGAAGCAAAGATTGCTTGGAAATTCAAATTTCTCTAAATATATTGTTGACTTTTGCCAAACATAAACTTATTAAAGCAGCTTTCCCAGTGCATTGCACTGAATAGTTCCCAACGCATTTCATATTTCCCTCAACAGATGGACCTTTGCACACATTTTTGATCCGAAAACTCCATTACAAAATTCGGAATCTATGAATATGGGAGGATTAACTAAGCTTGACTCCTTCAAGGAAGCCGCAGCTGTGCATTTACAAGGCTTGCCCAGGGCTGACATGGAAGGGAGATGCTGGAGACTTTTCACTGACTTGCTGTAAGTCAGAGGCAGCTTGATGGCACAGAACAACTAGCAACTAGCAATTGCTTGGGTTACAAAGTTTGAACTTGGCTCCACTTCATGACACGTGAACAGAATGAATTATCGCCTATCTCTGAAGCCTACAGCGAGGTGCAAAGGCCATAACCTGGTCCTGCCATTGCTTTCCTGCCACTGAGAAAGGTTCCTCCACATCACGTCAGCACCCTGCTTCCTGCAGCCAACACATTCCATAATCAAATACGTTCATTGCATTTCTACACCGTCTGGCAGCCCAAACTTTCCAGGCATTTCACAACATGACAAACATATTACTAAGAGCAGATTGCATGTATAGCCTTCCTTTCAATCCTCTTGTGAGAAAATCAAGTCAGCCTACATATCCTCACAACAACCACCCTGCAGGTAGGCTAGGCTTGAGAGTGAGTGCTTGGACCAAGGTCTCCCAGAAAGGACTGGAACCCAGATCTTCCCATCAACACTCTCAGTGCTACGGCATACTGGTCAGAAAATTTTTAGCATAGTATTTTTAAAGGAAATCCTGAAACAAGTAAAAGCAACAGACAATAACTCTACCAGGACATGACAAATAGTAACAATACACCTTAATATTAAATTGCCCAAGCATATGCCATTAAATACTGGAACTAGAGGAAAATCTTAACCTGGTGCTAAAATGATGCCAATGTTGGTGCCAGGAGGCTCCTCACTGGGAAAAGTATTCAGTGGGGCCACCACTTGGAAGGCCTAGTTTTTTTGGGGGGGGGGTTGGTTTTGTTTTGAATTTTTTGCCATCCTACAAATGTCCACTCTGAGAAGGGCCTCAGATGTTGATTGTAGCCTATAGGTTCGCACCGGGTTATTACATATACAAACAAGCTCACAAATCAGGTATAGAGGTGATGGCGACTTCTTTCTTTGCTCTCCATTAAGTGGTTGCCAGTAGAGTGCCTCTGAACCTGGAAGTTCTGTAGAACCCAAAACCCATGGTAGACCCACCAAGGTTGTTGCTGTTTAGCGAAGTCATTTCCAACCCATCTCAACCCCATGGACAACATTCCTTCATGCTCCCCTGTCCTCCACCATCCCCCGGAGTCCACCTAAGCTCACGCTCACTGCTTCAGTGACCCCATCCAGGCACCTCATCCTCTGCCGTCCCCGTCTTCGTTTGCCATCTATGGTTCCCAGCATGAGGCTCTGCTCCAGGGAGTCCTTCCTTCTCATTAGGTGGCCAAAGTATTTGAGTTTCATCTTCAGCATCTGGTCTTCCATAGAGCAGCCAGGGTTGATCTCCTCTAGGACTGACCGGTTTGATCTCCTTGCGGTCCAAGGGACTCGCAGGAGTCTCCGCCAGCACCACAATTCAAAGGCCTCAATCCTTCGGCACTCAGCCTTCCTTATGGTCCAGCTTTCACAACCATACATTGCAACTGGGAAAACAATAGCCTTGATATATAACATTTCCATAGTGGTCATCTGAGTTCTAAAGATCATAAAAACTTACCCAAAGGAGCACTGAGATTATGAAAGTGTGGTACAAGCGAACCTTTAATGGCTGCTCAATTCCAGGAGGTACCACAGTTTTGACATACTGGATGATAGTACACACCAGAAATAAAACCGGGTATCCAGTGACTGTAATGAGAGCGGATACTAGGAACCTAAGATAAAGCACCATTCCTCTTCACTGCTGGCAGAAGGATAAGCGCAACTCAATGGATGGGGTGGGCGTCAAGTTCTTGGTTGAACGCGGGTGCCTCCTCTTGGATCGCCTTCAGGTTCTTGCAGGTGGCTGAAGAGCAGAGGTGCAGTGTTATTTTGCCCCAGATGCTGTTGCATGCATACACATGTATATATATATAGTCTGATAAAGCAAAGCTATTAAAAACTGCTCTTGCCCCGCCCAGAATGAAACACCCACGAGACAATCAAGTAACACCGCAGACATGCATGCATGACAGAGGTCACAAGAAAGAGCGGCTCAGCAATTACAAAGCGAAGAGAAATCCACTTTCTTTTTAAATCAATTAATACTAGGAACTTAATCTGGTTAATCAATATGCTCACTTTTTCTCTCCTTCTTTGACCAAGGAAAAGAAGGTTGTGCCTTGCCCCTAAAATTAGGCACAGGGGAAATAAGGTGAGGAGTAAACTGGGAAGGTGTGAGAAGGTCTTTCAGTTGTATTTACTCATCACTAGTTGAGTATGAGTTTTGCATAGTGTAGAAAATATACAGTTTAGCCAAAGGCTTGCTGAAGATGGTGGACTTGGGGAAGGATTTCTCAAAGTGTTCACAGGCAAAGATAGCTGATAATTTCTTTTTGATTGATTGATTGACTAAATATCTATCCCACTTTTTTCTGATGGTTAAAACTCAAAGAGGCTTACATCATTCTTCTGCTGCTCCCAATCTTATCCCCACAACAAGGAATTAACTGCCTAAGAAGGCCTCTGCAGTTACAGGTGGCTATAAATATGTGTACAAATAAATAAACAAACAACAACCCTGTGAGGTAGGTTGAGCTGAGCATCTTTGCCTGGTGCAAAGTCACCCAGTTGGCACCACGACTGAGTGGGGACTAGAACCAGGCCTGCCTGAGTCCCCGTCTCACACTCTCAACCACGACGCCGCATCAGCAGTCTTAAACTGGCTTTGATAAGATCTTAACAAAATTCATGAACTTCTATGGATTCAGGACAAAATTGTGACATTTTGTTCGTTCATCCATTAGAACTGATTGTGGGAGAAAACCAACTAAGTATGTTCAAAGTCTTTGAGTGCATTGCTAAGATTACTTGTGTTTATTCTCTGTGTGTTAAACCATATTTGTACATAAGTGGGGTTACATCCCCCCACCCCCATGAGAGGTAAATATATTTAGCAGTTCCATGGCAGACAAGTGGAAGAAGGACCTCTCCATGTTGGGAATGGTTGTCCCTACCAAATTTGACTGTTGCATGTGAAAAAGTCATTCCAGTGTAGTTTTGAGAGGAGCTTGCAAAGTTCTTCACATAAGAGGGAGAAAGATTTCAAAAACCCAAAGTAGGGAGAAAATGAAATAAACAGATGTGCCCATTCCTACTAGCGCTTTAACAAGTCAGGTGAAACCAGCAAACACATCAAGTACTGATCAGTAAGATAATTTTGAGCAGAATATCAGAAAAAATGCACAGTTCATCCAACATACCCCATGCTCTTTCTATATAAATTAAGAGAAAGAGATGCATATATATATTTTAAAAATCAACCTAGTTTGTCCAAGACTAATTGCATTGGTGTCCTAGAAGGACTTCTGAAATACTCGGTAAAAATTATGGAATTAAGGGAAATCCAAACACAGATATGTTTAGCATGACTCAGTCTTTGCAGTGATGTTTTTAATTGCCTCACCCCAAAAGAAAGCAAAATGAAACAAAGAAAAAATCAGAAAGCTGCAGGGCACTAAACATTTAAACTCCAGTTTGAAAACCTGACACTTAGGTGCCAACCCAAAGAACTAAAGACAGACAGGGTAGAGATTTGGGGAGAGATGTCTAGAAATGCCTCCAGCAGCTTCCCAAGGTGATGTGCAATTAAATCTTAAACTTTAAAAACAGATCTTTAGGAAAACCACCAAAATATACCAACGTTGGTTCAAT